TGCAAGGTCTCAATTAATAGAAGAACAAATTTCGGGACCACTTTAATTACAGGTGTGCGATGTGGCCAAATGGCCTCTTTTTAAAGAAATTGCTCGTTTGGTAAGGTTGATTTGTTTATGTTACGATTGTTCAATCAAGTTTATTTAACCAGTATGTTTCTAAATTGCTGTAAATGATATTTGAAGATGTTGCATATACCCCCTGAATTGATTCACCGTATTTACGACAAAGTAAACATAATGACTGACTCCTCTTATAAATATTTATCAAAGTCTGCAGAATTAATCATGTTAATAAAAGAAAAAAAAAAGCTTCGAATGGAAAGTAGTATAGAGTAAGCACTGCCAGATTACAAGTTCATGGGATTCATATGGCACGCCAAATTCACAAAAATGAAATAAACCTAGTTTCACAATTGATAAACTAGGTTCATCAACTGTAAACTATAGTTTACAAACCGTAAACTATAGTTAACAATTCGTTAAGTATAGTTTTCATCTGTAAACCTATATTTAACGGTTGTTAACTATAGTTTACGAATGTTAATATAAGTTTATCTGTCTGTATAAAGCGTTAACAATAGATTTTGTTGATAAACATAGATTCACGTTTGTAAACTATAGTTTACAATCGTAAACTATAGTTAAGAATTGTTAATCATAGATTCACAAATCGTGAAACTATATTTATCAGATCGTTAACTATAGTTAACGGTTTGTAAACTATAGTTTACAAATAGTGAAACTGTATTTATCAGATAATCTGTTTTGCAATCGCAAATGATAGTTTTCGGTGTTAAGTATAGTTTACGGTTGTGAAACATAGATTATCGCGTTAACTATAGTTTACAGATGTAAAATATAGATTAACGTTGTAAACTATAGTTTACAGTCCGTAAAATATAGTTTACAACCGATAAACCTAGTTTATCGATTGTGAAACTATGATTATCTCATTTTTGTGAATTTGGCGTGCCATATGATTCAATCCAAATACTCGAACTTTGCAAATCCAAGGTTAGACACTGGTTTTTATTAAGTTGTACGAACTACGAACCTGGAATGTTCTAAATCACATTTGTTTCCCAGCAAGACCATTGGAATAATCTGATTTGGTTTCTTTTCTTTCCTCAGCCAATCCATGATGATTTCCGCCAGGTCAAAACTGTTCCGGTCCGTCACGGAATAAACGATGACAGCGCCATCTATTTTGTGAAGCCAGTCTCTTGCAGCCGACTTCCGGTCCAGATTCTATAAACATAATAATGTTTTGAAAAATACCCAAGATTGGTCGCTTTTCATGACTATGAAATGGGGCTCAAGCCCCAAGCCGAAAAAAATTGGCATTCTTTAAAACAACAAGCTAATTCAGAGAATTCGTGTCCCCCGCTTAGGGAAAAAGTCGGATCCCCCTGACTGAATTTGTAGAATAAGGTATACAAGTATAGTGAAGCAAATAAAATACATGTATGTCAATATGCATATAAAGATTTGATTGCTTATTCTTTATTATGTGTATAGAAGATTCTTTTTATATGGAATATTTATCACACTGTAATGAAGATTTTATAACCTCATAAATTTTTCATTTCACATGCTGAATACTAACATTTAGTAAAAAAAAAAAAAGTATTTAAAAAAAAAAAAAAAAAAAAAAAAGGGATCGACCGAGATTCGATCGCGGGACCTCTCACATGTGAAGCGAGAGACGTACCACTACACCACGGAATCGCTTTACATGGAATCAAGTATATGCAGAACTGAAGTCACATACATGTATATATTCATGTTCGGTATTCTCAAAATTTTACACAATCCATGGTGTTTGATTTATTTAGCCTTTATTAAACAGTTCTAATAGATGTAATAAGAACATAAAGTCCGCCAAGAACCTGTTTTATCCGCAATAACTCCTCATGCCCCAGTGCTAAAAATAGCGACATGTAATACTATAAATACTCAGTACTAATAAAACAAACGGGGCGGGGACTTTGAGAGGGGTGACAGAGGTCCTAGGGAGTTTTGGTATAAAAATTACATTGCATAAGCTCAAAATCTTCTTGAAATATCGCCGGGAAATGACAGTGTTACACACAGACAGAATGTATAAATTTACGACCTTGAACTTTGACCTTTTGACCTCAAAATCAATAGAGGTCTTCATTAGGCCACAGGGAGTTGTTATGTAAAATTTCATTGCAGTAGCTCAAATGGTTCTAGAGATATCCTGTGGAAACGAAAGTGTTATAACAGACAGAATTTGCTTATTTATGACCTTGACCTTTGACCTTTTGACCTCAAAATCAAGAGGTTTCTTCTTTAATTCATAGGGAGTTGCTATGCTAAATTTCATTGCAAAAGCTCAAAGGGTTCTTGAGATATCGTGTGGAAACGAAAGCGTTACAGACAGACAGAAAGACGGACGGACGGACGAACAAACCTCCCCCTCTTTTCAAGCGGGGGACAAAAATTCTCGTTCAAAAGAAATACTAGTATTGTTTTACTTCATACAATAGATATCATTTTCATATCAAACTTCATATACTAGTACATCGGATAAACGGAAAAAAAGAAAGAACATTCCACAATATCTTTAAAGATTACATTTTTTGGCTCTTAATTATCGGCCGCAGGAGCGGCCGATCTATTTGTGGTTGTGTTGGAAAGTGCAAATGGGGAAATGAGACGTTATTAGCCGGGCTTATTGCTCAAAGAGCAATTGACGGCTTATGTGATCCTGTTCAAGGCAGGATGTTAACCCTATAGTCGCCATTTTAAAGTTACGCGCAAAAATATACATGTAGTTCTTACTCTCAACCGCTTTTGAGATAATACAAACGCTAAATAAAGCAACAAAAAATAAAACGAAGTTTTATCTATATAAAACAAACATTAGAAGTAATGACTTTGAAAACTTCATAAGTCAAAGAACATAGTTCATTAACGTAAGGATTTTTGATAATCAGTGTTACCTTAGTTCTCTACACATACGAGGTAAAGCAGGAGAGGGGACCAGACTGGCCTGTTTGTTTACATTCAGCTGCGGTACCAGATTAATTCTGATTCTGACAAAAATCGGACCGTGGTATTAGGATTGAAAAACTCACTGTCAGTGTCTTATCATTTAAATTGATAGTTTTAAAATAATTTTTTCATCAGAATATAAACGTGATTCATGTAAGAAATCCATTCTACTCTGTAAATGAGCCCGGCTCTCTGTACTTCTGAGTACTTTGATTTTTTATTACTTCACTTAAATTTTTTTTAAAATGAAAACAAGTAAAAAACATGAAAAAATTAAAAACTTGCTTTAAACGTAACATTAATTGTTGTTATTATGTTTCGATTTCATGATCATTTCTCATCAGATAATTTATAATTTTTGGATATAAATAAGTGTTTACAATAGATACTCCCCAGGCTTGGAGTGTGTAAGATATGAAAGGAAATCGTGGTGATTTTCCGGATAATAATGACGTGGTAAAAGTGCACGGTGAATAAAAAATGAAAAGTTTTTCAACTGGTAAAAATTGCTTTGAATATGCTCTATAGCTGCAAATGACACAAAGATATTTTCTGTACATTTTGCACCGCGGCTTGCAGCATATAGCCTACTCGCAGAAACCATGGGCATTAATTATCACGTGACCAAGATCCAGGGTATCGGCACGTGGTTCTGACATGTTGAGAGGCCTACATCTTCATTTTTATGACAATAAATTCTTATCATTTATCATTGACTTTTTTTTTACATCGAGCAAGTGCGGTAAAATGTCTATTTATTTAAATTTTTTTTTAAATATTTATTTTGCTTTGAAGACAAGCCTGAAATAAAAATAATGATTCCCCTTACCAAAATACTCACCTTCTGGCATTATTGCCGCAATATTGCAGCAGCATTCTGGCAATACATTGCAGCAATATTGCGGTAATATCGTTTTTCGTATGTAAATTAGATTTGCGGCAATATTGCCAGAAAAGTGTTGCGGCAATATTGTAGCAACATTCTGGCAGTATATTGCAGCAATATCGTTTTTCGTATGTAAATCAGATTTGCGGCATTATTGCCAGAAAGGTGTTGCGGCAATGTTGCTGCAAAGCAATTTCAGTACATGTATTATTTCAGGTTTTGCTGCAGCAATATTGGGGCAACACTGCAGTACTACCTATATAAATTGGTATTTAATAGAAATAATGATCTATCAATCTAACATTTAACAAACTGTGCTGAGGAACATAAAAAATCAATAGCATAATAAGCTACAGAGTCAGTAAGAAATAGCTACTTAAGCTTATGCTATTCTTTGAAAAGATAGAAAAATTTTGTTGAAAAAAGATGTGTTTTTGAAACACTATGCCCCCAGCGGCAACAAAGTTTTAAAAACCATTTTTAGCATGTAGGTCAAAGTCACAAGGTCATTGATCTTGGTGACATTTGAAAGAATTTAATTAGTGGAATATGCATACTAAATATGAAGTCTCTATCTTTTATGGTTCAAAATTTATGGTGGAGGTTTAAAAAGGCTATTTTTAGCATATAGATCACAGTAAAGGTCACAAGGTCATTGACCTTGGTGTCATTTGAAAGAGCATAATTAGTGCAGAATGCATACCAAATATCAGGTCGCCATCTTTCATGGTTCAAAAGTTATGTCGAAGGTTCAAAAAATTTATTTTAAGCATATAGGTCACAGCCAAGGATACAAGGTCTAAGACCTTGATGTCATTTTAAAGACCTTAATTAGTTGAGTATACATACTAAATATATAGTCTTTATTTCTCATGGTTCTTAAATTATGGCAAATATTCAATACAAAAAAAACTATTTTTAGCATATAGGTCACAGTCAAGACACAAGGTCATTGACCTTGGTATCATTTGAAAGGACTTAACAAGTGGAGTATGCTCACCAAATATGAAGTCTCTATCTCTCATTGGTTCAAAAGTTATCATTAATTTATGGCGAAGGTTAAAGTTTACAAACAGACAGGACAAAAACAATATGCGCCCCCAATTTATCAATCCGGGCACATAAAAAATGTATATAAAAATATTAATATGCCACTGTGAAAATGTCCAGCAACTCTGCATTATTTTTCAAATAACCTTAATTAGCTGCCCATCACATATTATGAATTCCCCAATGCCAATCAGTATAATTTATAGCTTGTTTGTAATTTCCAACATATATATAGAATCATTTTTTTCTTGCAGGTATTCAAATATGCAATAAATTAATTATGTATGTTCATGCATTTAATTGATAACATGCATTCATATTTTCCTGCAACAATGGTATGATATATTATATATAGACATACAAGTATAGTATACATATACTTGCATCACAAGCACTAGTTGAAATACATATAATTTTTCCTATTTTATCTCCATAGAATCATTCATCTAAAAAGAATACGGTTTTGACTTACCACGTCTGAGATATATACCATGAAAACAGAGTTAGACATTCCTATAATTCTTTCAAAAGGTCATGTCATGGAAACTGCTGAAATTGTTTTTTTCTGCCTATTCAACATTATTCTGTCTTACTAGTCATCACGTCTAATCCTATTGTACACAGTTAACAACTCCAATTAACTTGATACCATTCAATAATGAAGCAAAACATGCTTGCATGCCTTTGAATTCCCTCCATTTTATTTGAAAAGAGGAAGTAAATTACTGAGCATGCTCACAAATGCCTAATGGGTAATCCTAGATCTTCTGGTGACATTCTGGCAATACTGCCAGAAAGTTTTTTTTTTCCTGACAGTATTGCCAGAATGTCACCAGAAGTTGTTGCAGCTAGCGGTGATATTTCACCAACCCAAAGAGCTTGTTTATGGTGACAAAAATGTGTTGCTGCAATGTTGCCGCAATATAGCAGTTGCTGCAATAATTTTACATTGGTAAGGGTCAACTACTTAGTTTTTTCCACCTTTGAATATCTTGATGTGCTTTCCTTGCATGGACGCTTTTAGAATTGTGAAAGAATTTTTATTAAAAGCTTAACTTTGTTTGCGGCCGATTTGATGCTTTGCATCAATTTTACTTGTTATAGATTAGACTTATATACATTATATAAGATAAACACCAATGTTTGGAGAGATTTGCTTCCGACAGCTTAATCGCGCGCGAAACAGAGTAAATGATGGCGCGATGAAACCCTTTCCGCTGAATATTTCAAACACTGATGACTATATTTAAATGATTTTTAAATAATCAGATTCAAGTTTAATATACGCTTTACACAGAGTAGCGATGAAAGATTAATTATGGCTGCATAGAATTATTCGTTACTGCTGTTTAAAAAAATTTTATCCTCCAAAAATGATTTTCACAATTATAACCCCGCTCCGAAGGAGACGGGAAATTCTGATTTACCCTTGTGTGTCTGTGAGAGAGGGTGTGTGTGTGTGAGGGTGTGTGTGTGTGTGTGTGTGTGTGTCCGTTCGTAACAATTTTTTTTTATTAAAACTGTTACCCACTATTTCAATGCATATATAAAAGAAACATGTTGATCAGTAAATATAGTTTTAACATACCTTCCCTGCAACGTCTGTTACTTTAATGGACACTTGTTTTTCATCAACGGTGACATTTCTTTCATATGTTACTTCCTCCAAAGAAGCGTATTCACTTAGATATCTTCCGGTCAAAAACCGCACCACGATGGCTAAAATAATTCATTGTAGGTTTAGTATATTTAAGTAAATACATGGTAGGGAAGAAAAAGTAATTAAATAAAATTCAAAACTTTTGCAAATATTAATATTCATTTCAAAAAGATTTAAGAAATTGCACATTAACTTTTATGAAAATTATACACTATCAGTTCATTGACGGAACTCGTAATCAGAGCACAAGATTCTCTCTATATAGGATATTTTAAAACCATTTTCTTCACCTTGAAAGTCGGAAATATCCTTAAAGCTAGAAAGTATGAAAAAGTTCACGACCCCCTCTTGTCATTAATGTGAGAAAAAAAAAAAAAAGAACATCAATCAGGTAACGAAAATAACAACTGATGGAGATGTATTGGCACTCGGCGAGAAATTTAAAACACATGCTATTTTCTGCTACACTAATTACTTCATAAATAGTCGAGGGAAAATCTCAAATGATAGAAGGTACCCCAGGAAATTTATATAAAGTAATCATATATGCACTTATCAATGATTTTCAAAAAAAAAAAAAAAAAATCAGAACAAAAATGTTTATACTTTGGCATGTGGACAAAAATACTTGAATGAGAACATTATTTTAAGGTGCAGTTAATATCCTCTGATATTAGACTGCTTTAGGTTCCTACAGCTCGATGAAGACTGGGCTCTCAATAATCAAGGTATCAACAAGTAATTTACAGAAAATTTTCCCAAGGTTACTCGGGATACATTTCGGAATAAAAACAACAATAAATATCAATTTGTTTATCATGTTTACACATTTCTCTTTACTTTCCGACTAAAAACATCCTTAAGAAACTTAATATGTCTTTCTTATCTGAATAAAAGAGAATTTGGTATCAAGCATAACTCAATAAAGAGTTCATTGTATTCCGAACTGACGGTATTAATCGGCATATTCACAATTAAGTTATCAGAAGCTCAACTTTTATCGGAACAGGTTTTGTTGAATAAACAAAACTTTGTTAACGGGCGAATATCTAGGACTGAAGAAGATTGGAACTATCGCAATAAACTTACAAGTGATGGTTCTTACCGAAGTTAAAGTAATACTGTAGATATAACTCGATTTGTCTTTTAAAAAATATTTAACAATACCTACGTAATATAAAAGCGGTTACAGAATGGCCAAGTGGTATAATGTAGAAAACATGCAAATACATTCAAATTTCATTAACTTCGAGATATCCGAAGATTCGAGATATCAAGGGTAAAATAGTCAAAGAATATGTAGTTGGGACTTCCAAATCACTTTGATACATATCCATATGGTATTCGAGATATCGGTGTTCAAGATACCACAGTTCCACTGTACATCTTATAGACCAATTCATTATTCCTATGTACGTATTCCTATACATTGATTTTTTTTTTTTAGTGAAATCGCATATCTTTAATTACTTATATGGGCAAAGTATGCTATATAATAATTAATTAAAAAAGATGCGATTCTTTTGATGTCATAAATTCTTTTTTAAAATCATATTTCTTTTCAAATAAAGCGCATTCTAAATTTACAGAACTAAATAAATCGTAGATTCCTGGTAATTACATAAGATATGCCATTGAGAGGAATGTAAAAACTGTTTAATTTAGGAATTACAATATTATTACGACAGAAAGTGGTGCAATTGAATAACGGGTAGATTGCCCCGGTACACTGATAGCGGCATTAATAAAGGTGTCATATCTATAATTTACACTTCATTTGGTACTTTATATGGAGTGCATAGTAAATCGAAGTGTGGGAAACTTAGTACAATGTACTAATTCACACGTTATATGGTACTTTATCTGAAGTGCACAGCAAATCGAAATTTAGGAACCTTAGTACTTATTGAAAAAGGGGGAACATGGGGGATTTCAAACTAAAAATCACTAGATGTGTTCGTAATTTCTTTCCTGATAGAAAGGGAACAGGTTTCTTCTGAAACAAAATTAAACGCGTACGATTAACGTTTGATTAATAAAACAAAATTGCATACAGGAGCGGATCTAGGATTTCCAAGTTGAAATGAAGCTAAAAGAGAACAGAACCTCGTAATACCTGTACTTAATATAAGTTTAATGACATAAAAATTAGCAACAATTCCTTAATTCCGTAATCCGTCATTGGAATTAAAGAGCATGGTGAATACGAACATTTAACAGCTGTTTTTAAAATCTCAGATGATTTCAGATCCATTCATCGACATTCTTATGATGATATCGTATCCTCTTTTTCTGTATTCACATTAAAGTAATCTCAACATAGCCGAAAATTTTTTGTCCAATAAAACACTCGTCGTGATAGGAACCTGGCAGATTTATTTCAAATCTTCACAGATCAGTTAAAGATCAAACGTCTTAACATCCGAATCAGGTGTTGTTTTTATCGACTTTAAAACTAAGTCAACTACAAACACAAAATTATACAGTGTAGATGTGTCTTTGATGATATGATAATCAAAATTTTAAAAAATACGCTCGTAGATTTCTAAAAATAGTAAATATCTGTTTAATTCAATCTTTTCAATTCTTATTCAAGACAAAAATACATTACTTGTGATTTACTTTAAAATTTGTCCCTATGACAGATTTTCGTTTAAGAAAAAAATCTGGTTAAACTTAGTCCACATTCGGTTAAAACTGTGCAGTTTAAAAGTTTTTTTCACAAACGAAAAACTATATTTCTAAAGGGATTGTTAATCAAAGATTTTTTTAAAATTTCAAATAATAGATGTAAATTTACCTGAAAAGAAGTTATAGTACTATGAAATACGTTAACTTTGCTTTGCAACAATACCAATTTGGAGCAGAGAAAACACGGACATAATCTAAAAACATCATAGGAGTTTTCAGGTGCCACTGAGGAGTAAACCTCCCAAGTCGACCAATCACATACACCAGTGTGTGGAAAAAGGTCAATCCGCAACCAACCCCGCGATTTCTTTCATAGATTGTATTTGCTAACAAGTCAATGTTTCAACCATAGAATTTGAAAAATGTTGAATCTAAACAAGACTGTTGATATCCTTATTTCATCAACTTGTTTGTCAATAACTTGCCTTGATTTAAAAATTGCTCTTATTCAGAGATACATTTAAGATCTTGATAATAGAAAAGTGAAACTCGTCACGTTCATCATAAACTTAAACCATTTAAGATATGAGAAGACTTGATTCAAAGTTTAATTTTCATAAAATTAATTTTGACTATATGGTTATGTAATAATGCCAAGTAAAAGCTAATTTCTCTAAATTATTTATTTCTTTGCAACGCTTGATCATTTTTGTGAGATTGTTAAATGTTACATCAGCTCTCTCGCAATATATAATCTGAAAGAAAAGGCAGCATAGATTTAGAGGCTGCCATCTGAAGTCATCTTTCCCAAGTGGCGCCACCAGGCAGGGAAGAATCTTATGCAATACACAAACTGTACTTTTAGTCAAAAATAATATTGCCTTTAAAACCATTTTACAGTTTCGAAATCATTTCATCAAAATATCAGAGAAAGGCTTAAAACGGTGAATATTGTATGCACTTCTGAAACATACAATATCCTCATACATTTCGACAAGAGAATCATTACTTTCTTGTCGATAAATTAAATAGAGTCTCATCGTCGCTAGGATCTAATTAATGTCAAAAATTGCAATGAAAGGCATTTCCTATGACATGCTTCATTAGTGTCAAATTACTGACATAAATGTTGCTCACTTGCATTTGATGTTTTAACGAGACATAAGTCGACCATAGCCACGCTTGGTACTGCATTGAAAAATATTTCTTTTTAAAACAATAAGTTCAATTTAAATAGAATATACTATGAAAAACATGCGATTTTTTTTAAAATTTAAACTACAGTAACAAATAATTATACCGGTACCTCATTTCTTAAAATAAACATCAATTTTAAACATTAATTAAAAACATTGATTGGCAATTGATGGTAAGGAAAAAAAAGGATAAAGAAATGAAAATACAACCCAGTCTTACCGAAATTACAGATCTAGAAAATCATTTATTGAAAAAAAAAATCTTGCAAGTGGACGAAATTCTTTACGACTATGTGTGTGTTAAAGTTAATGATGCTAGTGAAGAAGTCGTATATGTAAAATTAATTATAAAACTGACCTGTTTTGCCGACACCTTCCTTCCCCAGCACCAGAATGTTAATGGATCCTTTCATTTTTTGGAGATCAATGAAAAAAAGAGTCATCCGAATAGAAACATACTTCCTGTTTGAGTCAACAGAAAAATCGAATATATCGCACACATTACATAACCAAAATAAAATTAAAACTCCACGTTTGATTTATCAATCAGTTGTTGCGAAATATTACTCTCAGGTTTGTAACACCTATCCTTGTCAAAAAATATATGACCCTCCAATCTCTTCAGTAATAAATTACTGGCAGTTCAAGGCAAGTCGGACTAATTGAACTGCGATTTACAAAATGTGTGTGATTGTTTAGATAAGAGATCGCCAAAGAAGCAGTAAAACCATGTTGTAGAGAGCAAGGATAGGAGCTAGCAATATACAGGTGAATCTGTCTGTATCAAAGTGACGGGGAGATTTTGCGGTTTTAAAGAATTTCCTCCCGGATTTCAACGTACAAAGTCGGCCAGACTTCATGATAAAATGTAATTATCAAACACTTCAATTTCACGTCAATTTACGGGCTAAGTAAATAATGTTGCATTCCTTGACATTGTTGGCAAAGGATAGTATATTTATCTTTCTGTCTTGGCAGAGTGCATTGGCAAAATGTTTGTGATAAATTGAAATACTTTAAAAATCTCACATTTAACTGAACAAGTTTCATAGAAATGTTGCATAGAATGTTAGTTGCGTAAAAGTATAGTATATAAACAAGACCTTCCTTTGGGTAGCAACAATTTTGACATTGACCTTTGGAGTTTGACATGCATTTGAGAAAATTCACCCCTCGCCATGAGCATACAGGGGCATCAGTGTTTCAAAAATACTTTTTGGGGGTAAAAACTCACTTTTCATCACATATATATACAGGCTGAAAAATCTTTTAAAAAGACTTAAAAACACTGATCGATACACTGATTTGAATTTATAAATGAACACACTTTAAAAAGCTATTTAGGCACCACTTTTAATTACTACATTTATTTTCTTTTAACAAGTTTATTACTTTATTTTTAAAAATGTATTTTTATGAGTTGCCATGATACTTTCAGTTGTAAATATGTACATTTTATTTGTAATTTCTTTTAGAACAACTTACGTTCAACATTAAGAGATATTTATTATAACTGCACTGTTATCAATTGCGTTACATTGCCATTTTCATGCTCTTTTTAAGGAAGCTCTAAACACTAATAAAAAGTGCTTTTTGTACTTGGAAATAAAATACCGGGTATATCATATAAAGTTGTTCATATGTGGATTATTTGATTAATTTTCAACTAGGGTACCTGCCTTATTTCCGCAGGAAAAATGTTCCATGAAAATAGACTATTCGTGAGCAGAAATCACTTGTTTACTCACATAGGAAAAATTAATAGAAAAATTTAATTCATTTACTTATTCTTGGTCTAAAATAATGCTAAAAATATTTTAATCTATTACAAATTGTGTAATTAACTGTAAATAACCATTTTTTCTATCTTGCTTCTAAGAGCAGATCACTCTAACTGCATAAAACTACCCTACAAATAGAACTCTTTAGTGTGCAGTGTTTAGAGCTTCCTTAATTAAAACAGATTTCTTTAATTTTAGTTAATTCGAGATTGGAATGAATAATTCATTAATGACTCTTTATGAAAATATTAAACGCTTGCTTGTTTTCAGTTTCACATAAAAAAATTGAAAGTAGACTTTTATTTTAATTAATTAATATTTTCATAAAACGTAATTCCTTATGACAAGGTGTTTCTGGTATCTATATATACAGACCGACTTGGAGTTTGAGCCACCTTTGAACAGTTGGAACTAGGGCTTTCATACTTCATATCCTACCCGTATTTATGTGTGTATTCATTGTGACAAGACATTTCCATGCATGGATATATTTTTAAATTTTGACACACTTTTAAAAATCTTAAATCTTGAAACCATAACTTTTGAACAGCTATGACAAAGGTCTATATATTTCCTAGATGTATTCTTTATGACAAGGCCTTCATTTGAATACCAACAATTTTGACCTTTTTGAGTTCGACCTACATTTAAAAAACTTTAACCTTGGCCAGAACAGTTGAGACTGAGGTCAAAATTGTTGGTATAACAAGAAATTGATACACCTGCGAAATAAGAAAGCCTATCCATATATATATATTAACTGGTCAAAAGTTTGTTTTCAAACGTTAGATTTTTTTCAAAGGTTCTCAAAGGTCAAGGTCAAATATATTTACAGCCGAAAAAGGTCTTAATTTTCACAATGAATACACAAGTGAAGTACGATTTAGTCCTAGTAGCACCAGGCAATTGACACAAAAAGGTATGGTCAAGGATGCTGTTACTTAGCTAAATGTGACTAAGTAAGATCATATGATCAAATTAGAGAAAATCCATGTAAAGCTCGAATGTTATTCGTAGGGCACGAAAGTAGTCCCGGAGAATCGACACTGTATGGAGTTTGCTCTGAAGGCCCAAGCTGATGTCGAGTAAAAAAAATTAGGTCAATTTTGGAATTGATTTCAGAATATCTTGAGAAGTATAAGGAATTACGGAATGAAATTTGGTAGTAATGAAAATTGTTTATATTTGAATAGATATGGATAAAAAGTAAAATTGTAAAGCATTTGATTTAAAAGAATTTTATTGGCGAAAGTAGGTAACCTATTAAAAGAGATCCATACCTTTATTTTTTTTTTCAACACCTCAATTTTTTTTCTAAGCGATCTAAAGGCCTGTGATTGGTACCCAAGGGAAGATCTTCAGGTTTGTTTCATTTATTTTGTCGTAAGGACTGGTAAGGATACATGAAATATGAAAGCCATTGCTATGGCACACCAAATTCACAAAAAAATGAGCTAAACATAGTTTCACAGTCGATAAACAAGGTTTGTCGAATGTAAGCTATAGTTTACGGACTGTAAACTATGATTAACAACGTTATTCTATATTTTACATCTGTAAACCATAGTTAACGCGATAATCTATGTTTCACAACCGTAAACTATACTTGACACCAAAAACAATCATTTACGATCGCAAAACATAGATTACATGTATCTATGGCACGCCAAATTCACAAAAATGAGATAATCATAGTTTCACAATCGATAAACTAGGTTTATCGACTGTAAACTATAGTTTACAAACCGTAAACTATAGTTAACGATTCGTTAAGTATAGTTTTCATCTGTAAAACTATATTTAACGGTTGTTAACTATAGTTTACGAATGTTAATTTAAGTTTATCTGTCTGAAATAAAGCGTTAACAATAGATTTTGTTGATAAACATAGATTCACGTTTGTAAACTATAGTTTACAATCGTAAACTATAGTTAAGAGTTGTTAATCATAGTTTCACAAATTGTGAAACTATATTTATCAGATCGTTAACTATAGTTAATGGTTTGTAAACTATAGTTTACAACCGATAAACCTAGTTTATCGATTGTGAAACTATGATTATCTCATTTTTGTGAATTTGGCGTGCCATATGTATCTGATAAATACAGTTTCACGATTTGTAAACTATGGTTTACAACTATAAACTATATTTAACGATCTGATAAATATAGTTTCACGATTTGTGAAACTACGATTAACAACTCTTAACTATAGTTCATGATTGTAAATTATAAGTTTACAGACCTGAATCTATGTTTATCAACAAAATCTATTGTTAACGTACGTCTTATTACAGACATATAAACTTAGATTAGCATTCGTAAACTATACTAAACAACCGTTAAATATAGTTGTACATATGCAAACTATAGTTTACGGATTTTTAACTATAGTTCACGGTTTGTAAACTATAGTTAACAGTCGATAAACCTAGCTATATAGTTTATCAACTGTGAAACTCTGGTTATAGCTCATTTTGTGATGTGATTTGGCGCGCCATACATTACTATAAACCAATAGTCATGGACAAGGTAGAACTTTTTGTGGACAAACAGAGGACAAATATTGCATGCTTGGAATCTTACACTGGGGAAATAAAAATTAAACACTAAAATCCTCAGAGTTTTACGGAATAAAATGGCGCGATTTGAGAGGGTTTTAATTGATAGATATTCATATGCTTGGTTAGCAAAACGCTTTCTTGCATGTGGCTAAAGGTCGGCTTTGAAAGTTTTTCTTCAACATTGATGAAAGAAAAATGAAAGAAGTGTGGCAGATCTCTCTCGCAATAAGTTGCATAAAACTTCTCCTCATTCCTTCATAGTAAATGCATTTTCTCTATCCTTTACGAATTATGTACATAAAGAGCATAGGTCTGAAATGCAATGCAAATCAACCCGCCTTTTATGTTACGTATATACACCTGTTTATCGGAGTTGTGCATGTTTTGAAAAATGTAGTGCCAATATAATTCTACTTATGCATTAAAAATACGTGGACAAGTGATACTTGTGTGGCATCACATAAAAGGCATTACATTCAAAGAGTTTGTACTTTTTGAGCTGTGCTGCAGACAATACTAATAAAATCATTTGGCTTAAAAATACGTCGATCAGTGCACACGAGCTCAAAAAATCTTTCATATCAAACAAATGTTCATGCATATCTCATTAACATATGACACACTTGCTTAAATTTCTCTAGACATGTCATGTTATAGCAGCAATAGTATTCTCGGTGAGATTCCTAGAGAATAAAAATTTGGTCTGGTACTGGTGTCTCTTTGAATTTGAAAAGACCAAATTATTAGGCAAAATTTTTAGTCTCTACAAATCTCGCCAAGATTGCAACAATAGTTGCAATGAGATCAGAATCTTAATGAGATCAGATTGAAAAGAAGCTAGACAAAATATCAGTTATTTTTTGTTTTTGATATTACTGATGATCTGTTTCTAGCCACTCTACAGATTTTGAAGTTCACCGGAACTGGTTAGCAATTACATTCAGCAGACCCCTAGAACAATGGTACTATGAGGTAAATGTTTAGAAGAAATATCTTTAAATATCGATATACATATTTTTGACACATGGGCCCGAAAGGGAGGCAAGACAGTTTAAAAGTTTATGAACCCACCCCAAATTTTACCGACAATTAGCGAGTGGGTGAGTGTTAAGTTTAAACCCTTACATATTCAATTTATCAATTTTATTTTTATTTCAGAAAACTTCAGAATGGACATTAGATTATCCCCCTTTCTTTGCTTGGTTTGAATATTTCCTGGCCAAAGTGGCCTATTACTTTGATAAGGAAATGCTGAGGGTGGACAATCTGAATTATGCCAGTGAAGCTACAGTCCTTTTCCAGCGACTTTCTGTCATTGTCACTGATTTCATCCTGGTGCTGGCCGTCAACAAGTAAGAGCTGAACAAAAGGAAATTCTACAATTAATTTAATATTAATTTCTATAACTTTGCATAATTGTAGAATGATTTCTGTTAGGAACTTTTTATTTTCAATACAAGTATGTCCTACTTCTAATTTTTCTGAAAGCCATGGGTAGTTGTACATTTTACAGTTGTTGTTTTACTTAATCCTTTTAACTACTTTGTTATTATTATCTAGTTTTTACTTTATGTGAATATTAGTTTATCCATGCTTGTATATTATAATGTTAATGCAGTAAAATAAAATGACAGAGTTTATTTACATCCACTGCCTTCAATGCTTACTGTTACAGATTCTGTAATTACATGAAAAATGCATGGAGAGGATCCAAAACTTCAGACAGCAGTATGCTCACCAACAAAGCCTTTGTTCTCTCTTTTTTGGTTCTGTGTAACTTTGGCCTCCTGATTGTGGATCATATCCTTTTATAACAAGTTTAATCTCTGGTGTTTTTCTTGCAGTAGAAGTGCTTTATATGTCTTTCTTTTTTATCTGTTCAGTATGATCTGGTATTTTTAAATCATTTATCCATTCATTAAGTATTTTTATACCCCCGCTCCGAAGGAGAGGGGGGTATACTGTTTTACCCTTGTGTGTCTGTCCGTCTGTCTGTCTGTCTAGCTGTCTGTCCGTCTGTCTAGCTGTGTGTCCGTCCGAAACAAATTTTCGTCGCAGTTTTCTCAGCAACTACTCATCGTAGATGCTTGAAATTTTAACACAATCTTCTCTGAGGCATGCCATATGGTGGGATACATTTTCGTTTAAATCCGATATCAACTTCCTGTTTGTCTGTGCGTCTGTCCGTTTCATACATCACAAATTTTCGTCGCAGTTTTCTCAGCAACTACTCATCGTAAATGCTTGAAATTTTAACACAATTTTCTCAGAGACATGCCATATGGTGGGATACATTTTCGCAAAAATACTATGTCGACTTCCTGTTTGTCTGTGCGTCTGTCCGTTTCATACATAATAAATTTTCGTCGCAGTTTTCTCAGCAACTTCTCATCGTCGATGCTTGAAATTTTAACATAATCTTCTATGAGACATGCCATATGGTGGGATACATTTTCGCACAAATCTGATGTTGACTTCCTGTTTGTCTGTGCGTATGTCCGTTTCATACATAACAAATTTTTGTCGCAGTTTACTCAGCAACTACTCATTGTAGATGCTTGAAATTTTAACACAATCTCTCTGAGGCATGCCATATGGTGGGATACATTGTCGTTCAAATCCGATGTCAACTTCCTGTTTGTCTGTGCATCTGTCTGTTTCATACATAACAAATTTTTGTCGCAGTTTTCTCTGCAACTACTCATTGTAGATGCTTGAAATTTTAACACAATCTTCTCTATGGCATGCCATATGTTGGGATACATTTTTTTTCAAATCGGGTATCAACTTCCTGTTTGTCTGTGCGTCTGTCTGTTTCACAAATAACAAATTTTCGTCGCAGTTTTCTCATTAGCTATTCATAGCGGATGCTTCAAATTTTATTACTTTCTTTGTTTAGGCATGCCATATGGTGGATTAATTTTGATATGAATCTGATGTCAACTTCATATTTTTCTGTGCATCTGCCTGTAACTGAACTTGTGTATATTAACATGATAGTGCTTATTTACATCAGAGCGGGGGTATTACTAGTGAGCATTGGCTCACAGATTTTTTCTGGTGTTTTGATCATGTCTTGGGTGTTTGTTTTAAACCAAAATCCATCTTAAGGTTTATCTTAAATATGTACCATATTCAGTATATTCACATAGAAGTTATTCTGCTTATAAGTTTATTGTATTTTTTTTGCAAAGATCTACTATGTAGGTCATGGCAATCTAAAGTATTCAAATTGACATCTTTGGTGAAGATCATGCTCATTTTGCATGTTTTGAAACATACATTCATAAAACATATGTATGTTAAATTTAAGACCATTTTTCTAAAATACATGTAGTTCACATTTACTTCTTTTAAGAATTATTTTGTTTCAATTTTTTTATGCTCCTTATCAATAGTAGAAGACCTTAACATTGTGACATATTCATTTTCAATACAATGGCTTCATGTTTGGAATCCTTTTGTGGTCCATTACCTGCTTGTTACAGGTTAAGAATTTGAGTCATATTCTCTTTTTGTATTTTTCTATGAAATTAAAAAGAAAAACAAACAAGAGGCCCAGGGGCCACAGCGCTCACCTGAGCACATCATGCTTGAATTTACTACCCCCCCTCCTTTCCAGGCGTTCATCATTTGAACAAACTAGAATCTACACTACCTATGATTCCATATAATTATCACTAATCATAGCTTTGAAGTACTTGAAAAGAAAATTTTAAAAGGTTTCCCTATATATCCCTATGTAAAACTTGGGTCGGCCATTTTGGCCCCACCCTTGCCCCGGGGGTCATGATTTGAACAAACTTGAATCTACACTACCTGAGGATGATTCCACATGAGTTTCATCTTTCCTGGCCCAGTGGTTCTGGAGAAGAAGATTTTTAAAGATTTTTCCTATATATTCCTATGTAAAACTTGGGTCGGCCATTTTGGCCCCACCCTTGCCCCGGGGATCATGATTTGAACAAACTTGAATCTACACTACCTGAGAATGATTCCACATGAGTTTCATCTTTCCTGGCCCAGTGGTTCTGGAGAAGAAGATTTTTAAAGATTTTTCCTATATATTCCTATGTAAAACTTGAGTCGGCCATTTTGGCCCCACCCTTGCCCCGGGGGTCATGATTTGAACAAACTTGAATTTACACTACCTGAGGATGATTCCACATGAGTTTCATCTTTCCTGGCCCAGTGGTTCTGGAGAAGAAGATTTTTTAAAAATGCCATTAATTTTTAACAAATTCATGATTATCTCCCCTTGGAAAAGGGCGTGGCCCTTCATTTGAACAAACTTGAATCCCCTTCACCCAAGGATACTTTGTGCCAAGTGTGGTTGAAATTGGCCCAGTGGTTCTTGAGAAGAAGATGAAAATGTGAAAAGTTTACGACAACGACGACGACAACGACAACATTGACAGACGACGGACAAATTTTGATCAGAAAAGCTCACTTGAGCCTTCGGCTCAGGTGAGCTAATAAAAATAGACAAGAAACCTCAAAAGAAGATAAATTGATAAAATTAAAATTTTGTTTTTGCAGAATCAGATTATTTGGTCAGCTCTCTGGTTTTCAGTCCTGCTCAACTTTAAACACATTTACCTGTACATTGCACCTGCATATTTTGTCTATCTCCTGAGACATTACTGTTTTAAATCAAAAGGTATGTACACTACATGTACTAGTCTTTACACCTAAAAATTAAAGAATTATGTAAAGTTTAGGGGTTTCAGAATATTAATTTAAGTAAAAATCTTTCACTGACTTTTTAAAATAATTTTTTTTATATTTCAGATGGAAAGTTCCACTTGTCATCATTTTCACCATTTCGCCTCTTTTCTCTTGGTTTTGTTGTCATTTATGTGTTTGCATTATCCTTAGGACCATTTGTGTATTTAGTAAGTCCAAGTTTATTTATATCCATTTCCAGTGTCATCTTACAAAGAGAATATAGAACGGTCACATTGTAACAAAATTTACGCTAGTACCTTTTTGGGATTTTAAGATCCCCGTTTCTCCTAAGACTTTCTCTTGAAGATTCAAAAATCAAAATTAGCAATTATTTTGACTTTTATGTAGAAACAAGTGCCACAAGTTCTGTCTCGGTTGTTCCCGTTTAAGCGAGGACTGTGTCATGCCTACTGGGCCCCTAATGTATGGGCTCTTTATAACTTTGTTGATAAAATTTTAACAATAATAGGTAAGTGGACATTAACATTTGAACTTTTATTTATATATCTGGACTTTAAATAACTTTGTCGATATAAATGTTAACAATACATGTTTATGTGATAGGCAAGCAATGATATGGACAGCAAAAATGATTTTATGATACACTGTACATTTCCATATAAGTTATTGACTCTTACTACTAAGAATTAATTTAAATAGGGTCAAGGCTACATCTGACAACTGGTGCCCCTTCTGCAGTGATGACAGGAGGACTAGTACAAGAATTCCATCATGTAGTTTTACCCTCAGTTCCACCAATAGCTACACTTATAGCAACTCTTCTCTCTATTTTGGTTTGTATTTTAATACATCGATATAGAGTATTAAAGGGATTCTTATTACCTAGATATGAGAAAATTGCTCCAAATTAAAAAAAAGATTAGATATATCCCATACAGACAGGGATTTGTTGACGAGAGTTGGCTTTTCAGATTTATATTTCAGTCTTTTTAACTCTCACAGAACACATTTCTCTGTCAGTCTCACATTGTTCAAGATTTAAATGTATTGATTTTTTAAAATCTTTGTCTTAATTAATAGTTATGTTTAAATATACATGTATTTTGATTAAATATTATATAGTATGAACTAAAGCTGTGAGTACAGTGTGTTTGTATTTTGTCATATTGCAGCCAGTCATGTATTATCTGTGGAACACCTCTAAAGGACCAGAAAGTTTTGTTCGAGCAGTTGTCTTGTGCGCTTTTGGATCTTACTTATTTGGCTGGCATGTTCATGAAAAAGCCATTCTCATCATCTTATTGCCATTATGGTATGAGATTTAATTCCTCAAGATAAAAATGACTTTCATAGTATTTAATTTATCAGTGTTTGTGGACAAGTGGTAAATCTAGTGTTCTAGACTCCTGGCCCTCACTGTCCTCTATGAATATCCTTCATACTGTTGAAAATAATTGCTTCATACTAGTTATTTTCAATATACAGGTGACTCTCGATCTCTCGAAGTTCAAGGGACCACAAGAAAAGTTCGAGAGATCGAGGGGTTCGAGAGATAGAAAGTAAAAAAAATCCGGAATTTTCAGTTCCGATCACCGAAGTTCTACTTTTATAGATACCGGAAGTATATGTAAATAAAGTCATTGCACGCTTTCAATTGTATTTGACAGGTAGTTTACGTGATATAAACAACAATGATTGCATTTCGAATAAATAAAACTAATTTCTAAAGTTTTAGTATTTATTTATTGTTATTTCATGATTACGTGAAACCCGAATAGCAATTGTCGGTTTGGCTATTCCGCGGCTTGATCGGGACCTTCACCAATGTTCAACAGATTTTTCTTAATCGGTATTCAGTCCTTGAGAAAGGAATTTTCTTGTGCAATATTTGCCATGCTGGAATTATTTAGACTCTATTTAATCATAATAAAAGTTCATAGTCTATCGGAACTTACTGAAATGAACATCTATAAATTAAATTTCTAAAAATTATCGTCTCAGTTTCAATTCGAAATAAGTTGTTTATAATCTACCCTGTAATTAATAACCAACTAATTATATAAAAACACGGACAACCCACAGGTGTAGTGTCATCTATGTAAACACCCAATTAACACCTCCATGCCAGCCCATGGCTTTCATTGTTTCCAGGTAAGTCCAGACTGCATCAATTTTACGCTTGATTGGCGTGTATAAACGTGCGCAATCAAAACTTCGAGAGATAGAGAGTAAAATTCAATGAAATATGTGTAACGGGACCCAGATTTTGGTTCGAGAGATAGAGAACTTCGAGAGAGAGAAGTTCGAGAGATCAGGAGTAAATTTGCTTAATTATATAGAGGAAAAAAACGGGACCGGAGGTTCACTTCGAGAGATAGAGAACTTCGAGAGATCGGAGTTCGAGCCATCGAGAGTCACCTGTATATGAATTTTGTTTTAAAGCTAGGTTTATATTATATTTCATTTTATTATACTGAGACTTGTATATACCGGTAAATGAATATTTCCAGTTTGTTAGTGTTGAACAAAAGAGAGGATGCCTCGGTCTTTTTATTACTCTCCACAACAGGCCATTATTCTTTGTTTCCATTACTCTTCACACCAGCAGGTATAGTATAGTCCTGCCTAAGGCAAAAAATTAATTTCTTAGTTCTCAGGCCCTCCCTTATCTCCTCCTAGGGTGCCTCATTGACCCTTTTTATTGCTAAATCAATGAAATAAAAAAAAAAAACAAATCACCTCCCTCATCATTTTTTGGAGGTTTTGTACAATCTAAAAAGCTGCTCATCATTGGGGGCAATAAAATGTATATAAAAAAAGGCCTGAGAACCAAGGAATTAACTTTGCATGGCCTAACTGTGACCAGCATTTTCCTGTAGTCATTACTTTGAAATAAAGGAAACATGCATTGATTTACTAGTGTGGATCACAGATCTAGAGAATTTTAGCCTTGCTTAGGTCACTTCAAGTGACCCTTCAATTATTTAATGATGCTTGCTACTAAAAAGTAGGAAATGTGGAATTGATGTTCAATATTCTAATTTTTGACATTTCTTAATAAAGTTATGCAATGTTTGAAATCATGTATTATACCAAGTGTAGCAAGTGATCTTACTGATCATTAATTTGGTATTGAGACTTTGTCGTAAATGTAGATTAGGTTTGTAAAGTGAGAGTTGTCATCTTTTATTTACAATCATTTTAAAAAATTTTCATTTAAAAAGTGCACTGTATTCTTAAAGACACCTACTCTGTTTCAGAAACCATGACCAAGATTCTTTTGATGTTAGTGTATTCTGTATGTGCTTTTTCTAGTCTCGGATATATTTACAAGTGAGTTAAAAAAAACTTACCTTTTAAAAGAGTTTACTTTGATGAAACAAACTAACTTGCAGCAAAGCATTCTTGAGTTAGATCTATGAGGATTCAAGTGTGTTCAGCTCTCTTGTAAGGGGGGATTACTGAGGATGTGAAAATTTCCATTATTACATTTAGTTGAACAGTAAATTTCATATTTCTTACAATAAAATAATTCTTTTAAAATATACCATTCATTCAAATGGAATATTAACAACACTCTACAATTTTCAGGTCCTCATGGAGTTGGAGGTCCCTTCCTCTCCTGAATTCTTTTGAATCTTTGTACATTATTGGACTTATTCCATTGGAGCTGTGGAACAGTGCCATATTTCCTTTGTTTAGCTCCTCTGAAAAATATCCATTTCTTCCTTTAATGCTAATTTCTGTGTATTGTTCTGTGGGAATTATTTATTCCTGGATTAAGTTTTATGTGATAACTTTATTGGACAAAAAAGTTAAATCTCAATAAATGTCTATAAACCAAGTCTTGCTACATTCTTAATTTCTTAGCGCAACAATTTATATTCATGTTTTGTACTGTAACATACCTTTATGCAAGAATTTTTGTAATGAGGATGGAGTGATGGTAGGAGAATGGGAACATTAATGATTTATTTATCAGACAAGTAACATGATATGTTTTTAATTCCTAGTGGATTGAAATGTCAATAATTTCAGAAAAAATTACATGTAAAGATCCCCAAATGAGCCAGTTTTTTTAAAACTCGATATAGCCACATCTTATATCAGATTACAGGTCTTTCAAGAAAATGATCAGACATAATGTCACAAGTTGCAGAATCTAAAAATGGAAATATTTAATTATTATCTCCCCTGAGCCTAAGGCTCAAGTGAGCTTTTCTGATTGACATTTGTCCACTGTCTGTAGTTGTTGTCATTGTAGTTGTTGTCTTTGTAAACTTTTCACTTTTATACCTTCTCCACTGGACCAATTTCAACCAAACTTGGTACAAAATAATCCTGGGTAAAGTGGGTACAAGTGTTTGGTTTTTTTTTTCAGATGAGGGGCCTCACCTTCTTCCAAGAGGGAGATAATCAAGAAGTAATGAAAATTGGTTCAGATTAGTTAAAAATCTTTACAAGAACCACAAAAAAAAAAAATGAAACATGTGGAAGCTTTCTGGGGAAGTGTAGCTTTCAGTTTGTTTTTTTTTAAAATCATAACAACTTTGGCTGTAAACAAAATAACCAGTCTAGGTAGAAAAGTTGATGTTACAGAATCTCGTTCAAAGTTTTCTACTGAAATAAAGAGAGTGTATTAGTTGAAAACGATACATTTAAAAACAGACAAAAGGGTTGCATTTTCTATATCATATAGGGCACGCTAGATTACCAAAATAGGAAAATGTGTGTTGACCTCACTGGCTGATCAGATTTAAAAAGAAAAAAAATAGAAAGAGGGGGTGTGGTGGTGGTGGGGTGTTCCACCTCCCAAGTGCATGTGTAAAATTGCTGAAATTTGTTTACGTTCCGAGATATACCATACTGCAACATACATTAAGGGGGAGGCCTGGATGGAGGGGGGGGGGGGCATGCAGCATCCATATCAAACTCTTCACCTACACATACATCTACTATCTATTAGCAAAACACCATTTTGAAAAAAAAGAGAAAAGGGTCTTTACACCCCTTAACTCCCCGCGTAATAAGGTCCTGTAATGACATGCCAAGAAATCTCGTCCGATTTCGACAGCGATGGAGTCAATAAAAGTGTAATTGATGCAAATCACCCATATTCCCCAAACGCCAGCAAGACAATTTACGGCAGCAGACTTCTGGGGGTGGATCCTAGGTTTTAAGCTTTCTTAGTTAAAGAAAAATAAACTTCTACCCCAGGAAGTAGTACAAATACCCTAAAAAGTTACTGTCAAAAATCTTTATTTACAAAATACGTAAAATGCCAGAGGCACTGGTACCAAAATTTATTAAAAATAAAAAATTGGACTGAAGAAAATAAGAAAAAAAAAATCAAAAGAAAATATTCACTTTAAAATGAAAATATATACATGGCCAATCGGGTAACGTCTACCCATTCAGTACTCGTCTCCATCTTGTTCAACCAGGAACTGATGTAAACTTCCGGAAATTTGGTACTCTTTTATCTATATTTCGACGCGGTACTTCCACAACTACCCGATGTCAATTAATTTGTACATAGAAAAAATATTTTGAAATTGAATTACGTAAAAAATAAAATGAAAGGCAGCTTATTTTATTGAAGAATTACTTTACTATAATTAATTTCACCCCCCCCACCCCACCCGGAAAAGGCAATGGGAGAGGGGGGGGGGGCAAAGGCTTCTAAATAACTAGTATTCTACCTATAATTTTAACCCAGTAAATTTTAGGATCCCTCCCTCAAAACTGCGGACATTAATTGCTTCCGCACGTCTCCCAGGGGAAGAATCACAGATTAATGTTAATTCGGCTTTTATTGAGTTTGCTATACGGAGAGAATGCTAAGGTTTTCTTGGCATGATGTTATAAGCATGCGACACAGAAGTTTGTCTGGAAAAGATTTTTTTTCTTTTCTGTATTTCTTCACTTAATATTAAAGGCACCCATTTCCACATACTTTTTTGTGTGCCGGAAAGAATTTTTACGTGGGCAATATCAATGTGACGGATTATACACAGGTGCCGGATTATACAGTTTTCACTGTACTAAGTGAAAAGCCTCGGAGGGGTAGAATTTTTCGATATAAGACTAATGTATTAATTCTAATTAATTATTATTATTTAGACTAATTTAGCGACTTATTGATAAAAATTCAGGTGCCTGTGGTTAAATAAATTTTGTACAAAAGTTGCTTGTTTGATTTGCAAATAAATCGAGATCGGCATTCAATAAAAAGAAAACAGCTCAACTTGGATCACGTTGTGGTGGTTAACCTTCGTTTGTTAAAAAAGGGAAATTATGTCTTCTTTAATTGCAAAACATTTTCTTAACAATTTTCAAAAGTCAAGAAGAGCGATCTCCGCCGCTTCTTCATTTGGAAGAATCCTGTCATCAGCAAACTTTCGCAGTAACCCACCGTCCAGCGTGTTGGCCTTTTCGAGGAAACTCGAATGTAGTTCACTTCAGAAAAGATTGCTTTACACCGAGACAGATCAGGATATGTCTCAGCATATTGCAAAGGAAATTGAGAACGAGAAAAAGAGCTCAGGTGGTCAGGAGACAGAATATTTGAAAAACTGGAAAATTGTGCGAGATGGTTGTGAAGTTTCGATGTCCAGATCGGAGGGAAACGAAACCATAACGGTAGAATTTAATGTCAACAACGCCACTGATTTGGTCGACGAGGGTTCAGAAGACTACAGTAACGAAATGCCACAAATGATTTGTAGACCGCCATTTATTGTACAGATCAAAAAGCAGAGTGGCATGAAAATCCGCATTTCTTGCCAGTTTCTTACTGAACTAGATGCAGATGATGGTGACGAGCAGGAAGTTCGCGACAAATTTGAAATTGTTCACTTCAGCGTCTGTAAAGGTGAAATTGTGCCATCAACATACGTCTGCAGTGGAGAGACGATGGACGGAGAAATGTATGAAAAGTTGATGGACATGTTGGACGAACGCGGAATAGACAATGAATTTGCCAAAGAATTAATTGATTTTAGTACCAACTATGAACACGGTGAATACATCAAGTTTCTCAATACATTCAAATCTTTTGTGGATGAGAAATAAGAACAGTATAGTAGTAAAGTTGTGTATTCTGAAATCTTGTACTTTTTTGATAGAAAAGAGTTATCATTTCAGTGATTTGGCATTTGTGCTTTGTGAGAGAATGTCATTGATATCTTGATTCCTTTCACAATAAATCACATATTTAACCTATACATGTATATATAAAATATGGTTAATACAGGGAAATGTTTGTGCTACACCATGATGATTATATATAAAGGATCTCTTTTCTTTTGTCTTAAGGTAGAGATTGATAGGTAGTAAACAAAAAAACTATTCATTTGAATTTTTCTGATTTATTTATATGTTTGTGTTGATTCCTTGTTCTAAAAAATATAAAAAGTTCAAGGTAGGTCATCGGCCTAGTTAATGAGAAATTTGACATTTTAAAGATATCCTTCATCAACCAGCGAAGAGCTGAAAAAGCAGGGAATAATAATATAAGAATATGATATGAAAAGGGCTGTAAATTTTTTATTGCTATATCAATTATCATTTGTCTTATATGAATTCAAACATCTGTCTGCATGGATTAATATTTGACATCAATCTTAAATTTATCAAGCATTGTAAGCAAAAAACAGAATTACATTTACCAAGATGCATGGTCAAATTAGGTTAAAATATTGCCTATTCATTGCACAAGGTCTCACACTTCTGCTTCAACTGTGAAAAAATTACCCATCAAATTTCTTTTTTTATTGCATATTATAGTTAGTCTATAAGTGTCTTAAATTTTAGAAGAAAATCATACTACATAATGGGGTTTAAATTCAACCTGGAACAAGTTTATTATCTTACACCCTACCCTACCCCCTTCCTTTAGAAGGATGCAATTTTGAAGAATATGGTGACTAAGAGAGATTATCAAGAATTTATCAAAATATTTCACAGAAAATCTGTAAATTCTTTGTAATTTTCTTCTAAATTACATTTTGTATCACAAAAACAATTTATACATGTACACCCAGACACATGTTGCCCTGATTGACCTTTTTGCACTTATATTAAAAAAGATAAGAACCTTCTTTTATATCGTTCAAATTGACTTTGATAGATAGAATTAATCAAAATATTTCAAAGAAAATGAGTAAAATTTCAAGTAATATTCTTTTAAATTACATTCTATATCACATAAAACAATTTATACATGTACACCTGGACATATGTTGCCCTGCTTGACCTTTTTGCACTTATATTAAAAAAGATAAGAACTTTCCTTGATATCGTTCAAATTGACTTTGTAGATTTATTATACATATGATTCTTGGATGAATTATCAATGACAATATGTTTTGGCCAATTCTGTGCATAAGTAAACTGGTTTTATTATCTTTTTTTGACAAGAATAGAATGATTAATTTCACTTTTCTTTTAACAATTCCTTTTTTATTCCAAATACATGTACAACATAAATAAGAAAACCCAGTGATTATGAAGTTTTTAACATAGAATCAATCCATGGCATGTTATCCTTGTTTTAAAAATATTCAGATACATTATTACACGTCTGTTAAATGAAGACTGCCTGGTCATCAGTTGTCAGATATTAATACACTAAAGCATGGTTAAAAAAAAATGCTAAATAAATGGTAAAAAGTGCGGGAAAATTGGGTGATTTGGTTATCATTACATACATACAAAAGTATCATGATGTAGTTCAACAAAATAAAGTGAATACATTCAGTACATGTACGGTAATAGGATAAACTTGCTATTTTGCTTTTTGTCTTATTGGCTAACAAAGATCAATGTAAACATGTATGCATCTTTTATTGCCATCGTATGCAGCCAGTTGCGTCATGTTCAATGATCCTGACAAAATTCTGTTGTTTTTATGTCAATACAACAAAGGTGTTCTTTCACAAGGATCTGAAGCAAGCAAAATTCACTCTGTATATTCAGATTGTGAAGCACAACTTATGGTGTGATATGTCCGTTCCTCTTTAACGTCTCCTTCTGGTAGTTTTTTTTCTGAAAAGAACAGAATATCTTAATACAATAAGAATGAAAATACATATTTTACTTCTTTCTTACACTGCAAACATAGTATGACTATGTCTATATGAATATAAGACACTTTTGAGATACTTTTTTTTATTATACAATGTCATGAATTTTTTTTAACTAAATGCATATAAAGTCAGCCTCATTAATCTGGGCACTTTTGCTCCCAAGGAAATTATTTGGATTAATGAATTGTCTTACTTAAACAAACTGGTATATAAGGATAAAGATCAAATATTTTAGTTTCTAAATGCAGGCCACACTCTAAGGCCAAGACCATGGGGTTAAAGCAATATGAGCTGCATTTTTGAGAATTTTATTTTGCTGGTAAAATGTGTTATTATGATTAATCTGTATGTAATCTAAACCATTATGATCAATTAGACCAAAATAAAGTTTAAAAATGTTTCAGAAGAAATATTTCTGCACGACCAAAAATACAATATTATATAAGAAATCATTATTGTACAGGACGACAATAATTCAATTTTGCTTCAATCAAAGCATATAAAAAGTTTTTCCATAGCAATATGAACAACAGAAGTTTATAAACGTTCTATTTTCCTGTCATTGAAATAGTTAAATACAAATTTGAAATATTTTTTTCCGATGTCAAACATGCAGCTCATATTGATTTAAAGAAAAAGAAATAAACGTGAAATACAAAGACTCAGCACAAACTGTTCATGAGTTAATATCAAAGGATCAAGTTTTTGTGGAAATAAAAAAATACATGTACATGTCAGTGACACATCAATGCATATACAACTAGCAGTCTACGCGAAAGTTTAAAATTTTTACAGGACAAAATGTCTGGTAAAAATAAAATTTTTACCAGACCAAACAATTTTTTACCAGACCGACTTTTTTTCCCCTTTAAATCCATACATCATTATGATACTGAGATTGAGAGGGTGTGTGGGATGGGGTTAATTCTCACTATGAAATTTAACCTTAAGTAGATTCAGAGTGAAATAGACAAGTTAAATATTTATAATTTTCCTTTGTAAAAGGTATCTATTTATACAATTGCATGCATTTTTCTTCATATTTGACTTATACAAGATACACTGTATCAAAGATTTTCTTAAATTTAATATGCACTTTCAATGCATATTTATTTTTCCTGAAACAATTTATTATGGTTACTCAAGTTCAATGATCATTTGAAAAAATTCCCCAACCGAATCTACGTATGAGCTATCTAAATATTTTCCCAACCAAATCTACGTATGAGCTATCTAAAGATCTCTAATCCCTGACAGAGGAAATTCGAATTAGAATAAAAACGATCATGACAGGGTTGTAATACATAAAAATTAATGAGGTTTTACTGCTAAATTGGTCAAATAAAGGATATTTGTTGGGAATTTGACCATGTGTACCTGTTAATTTAGATTTATTTGGCCTTATTTTCTATCGGACATTTGGTCCTGTATACTGAAATTTTTTACCGACCCGACCTAAATTTTACCGGTAACACATCAACTTTCGCATAGACTGAACTAGCAACCTAACTATCATATGTGGAATTAAAATACTTTTCTTTTTACATCTTATTCCATTTTTTAATTCAGTTTTGTCCCTATTTACCTTATTGATATAAATCCAATATTCTTTTGTAACACTGCAGATGATCGACACTTGATTAGCCAAGGATCCTTTATTCCATGGGATCTGTAACATGATGAAAATAAAATAAAGTAAATAACTTGATCTATTTAAAAAAAAAATGTAGAATTTATTAACAATTTTGATTCAATTTGCAAATTTAGCTATGATAATGTGAAGAGGTCAATATTGTTAAAAAACCATGTCAATTACAAGTTTTTTAACAATAGTGACTTCTTCATATTATCATAGTACCAATTCTTTGGTGCTTTAGTTGAAACAATTTCATTCACGTTAGAAAACATCTTTACATTTTACAATTTTTTTTTGGTTATTTAGTTTTGAATTCAATTTACAACATGACTTTTTATATGTTTATACACAAATATTTAACCATACATGTATTTAAGTCAATAGAACACCTACATGTAACTAGTGATGCAGGGTTCCCCGGTTAGATTCTCAGTCCAGCCATACATGTTCCTTGTTTCCTGACACATAAGTATGCCACTTTATGTTCAGTTTGATGTAGCAGATCTGGCTTGAACTTTCCTGAAATATTAATATGATCTTTGAGAAATTATTGACTTAAGAAAATGATTCTATATGTATACAATAATACTGTATGTACATTATGGTGTTTAAATTAAAAATACAAGAACTAAAAATCATATTAATTTAAATTTGTAATACATGTATTATAAAACACCTCCTTTTTACCACCCCCTTGAAAAAAATTTCTGGATTTTCCCTGTCACATGTGCAAGTGTAAATTGAAAGAAAAAAATACAAACCAATGGCTATTTTGGAGTTAATCTAAAAAGCACCCTTGGCATTCCTCTTTCCAGGTGACACTTGATTTGGTCACATTATTTCAGCAGAGAAAGCTAAATACACTGTCTATTTCATAGCTTGCTTCACCTGTAGTATTAAATATTTCTTTTATAATCTATGAATATGATATCTGTTTATAATCAGGGCCCTTTTGAGCATAAAACAAATACATACATAAATTTATTACAGGTACATAAATACATAAATGTTACATAAGGCTAAAAAATAGTCTTGTTTCCTGCTACCCCACTGACTCTATTTTTTGTCACTTGATCCTAAAGTTGTTTCTTTTTTTTTCAATGCAACTTTTTACAATTTGCTTGTTTTTTCAAAAAGACAAAAGATTTTCAAGTAAATGTCCACTATCATTTATAAAAGGGGTAATAATAATTAAAAAGCATCTGCCATCCAAAGCAGAGAAAGTTTATACATTTCTGCATTTGAACAATTTAAGCAAAATATGTTTTTCCATTTTTTGATCTGAGTAACTAAACATCACCTCGTGTGTTAGGCACAGATAAGTATGATTACTTTACATTTTTTACCAATCCGGCCTTTATCATGTTCCGGTTTTATTCTTCTATTCTAGAAGTTACAGTCTGGTCATGAAATAAGTTTTAATTTTTAGCTAAATAAAACTACTTTTGGAAGGAAAAAAAATCTATGAAGGTTATTGGTAATTGAAGCTAAATATACTGGTTGTTTCAGACCTGTGCGTAAACAAACAAGCACCATAGTCATGATCGATATACTATAACTAAATCGTAAATATTCACCTTATGTATCTGACACGGACACAGCATACAAAAAATCTGTTCTCCAAAAATTTTACTTCTTCCGTCATACCAATTAACATCTGTAGGGTCATGTCTATACAGAAAACAAGATCAGGCACAGATCGATACCGGTGTACCCACGTGGTGCTGCAGCGGACACTGGACAAGGAGTAGTTTCACCAAAATTATGTTCACATGTTCGGCTTCAGTCTCACTTCTATTTTGATTCTCATGAAGATGCTTCAATTTCGAGAACCGTAAAGATTTAATACGTATGGTAACTTTGTCTTTTAAGTCGAGGAAATTTCTCGATCGCTTCGTCGGCCATCTTGTAGCATAGACAATAATGTGTAAATGGAGACTTTTTTTTGACGGCGTTCCGGGATCCGGAAAAAAAGCACGTGCAAATATGCGAATTCGTTCTATCACGTGATTGCTATCGGTCTCTACCTTAAGATGTTGCTTTATGTAATTTGTTTTTTCCCTTGTCATGACAGATAACAACAAGATATGTTTGTGAAACAATGATGCCCCTGTATGGCAGCTTTTGTCACAAGTTAAATTTTTTTAAATAATGCCAGTAAAACTCAAAAGTCAAGGTCAAGAGCTAGAAAATGTTGTTACCCAAAGAAAAGACTTGTCTCAATAAATTTGCATGTGAAATATGAAGCTCACAGCACCAAAGGTGAACCATTCAAAAGTTATTGCCAAGGGTAAATTTTATAAAATGTGGATAAGACTCCAAGGTCAAGGCCAAAGGGTCAAAATAAAGGTAGTCATGGTCTTTGTCTTAAGAAATACACATGAATTATTAAAACCCAAGCATCAACTGTCCAAAAGTTACAGCCATTTTTATTAGGTCACCTGAGTAACTCAGGTGACCTATTGCTATCTGTTTTTGTCCTCCGTCGTTCGTCGTCCGTCGTGTGTTAACATTTGAACATTTTCAGCTTCTTCTCTGAAACAGCTTAACCAATTTCAACCAAATTTGGTATACAGCATTTATGGGTTAAGGGGAACAAAAATTTTGAATTTTATGGTCCCCGCCCCTCTGGGGCCTGAGGGGTGGGGCCAAAACCACCAAAATTATTGCAATCTTTAAAAATCTTCTTCTTTACTCCTGGACATCAAGCAGTCAAACTGTTGGCATGAATGTAATGAGCATTGAGTCCTCTACCAAAATTGTGAAATTCATGGTCCCTGGGTCAGGGTTTTTTGTGCTAGGGCGGGGCTATATAGATTATATAGTGAAAATGCATTATTTCTTTGAAAATTTTCTTCTTTGCTGTTGGGTATTAAGTAAACTAACTAAGTACATAGTTATGTTGAGCAAGAGTGCCTCTACCAAAATTGTGAATTTTATGGCCCCAGGGTCAGGGGTTCTAGTGTTAGGGCAGGGCTCTATTGATCATATAGTGAAAATGCATTTATTCTTTGAAAATCTTCTTCTCTGCTCTTAGGTATTAAGTATACTAACTAAGTACATAGTTATGTTGAGCAATAGTGCCTCTACCAAAATTGTGAATTTTATGGCCCCAGGGTCAGGGGTTATGGTGTTAGGGTGGGGCTCTTTTGATCATATAGTGAAAATGCATTTATTCTTTGAAAATCTTCTTCTCTGCTTCTGGGTATTAAATGAACTAACTAAACACATAGTTATGTTGAGCAAGAGTGCTTCTTCCAAAATTGTGAATTTTGTGGCCCCAGGGTCATGGGTTCTGTTGTTAGGGCGGGGCTCTATTGATCAGATAGTGAAATGCATTAATTCTTTGAAAATCGTTTCCTCTGCTTCTGGGTATTAAATAAACTAATTAAGTTCATAGTTATGTTAAGAAAGAGTGCCTCTTCCAAAATTGTGGATTTTATGGCCCCAGGATCAGGGGTTCTGGTATTAGGGTGGGGCTCTAATGATTATATAGTGAAAATGCATTAATTCTTTGAAAATCTTTTCCTTTGCTCCTGGGTTTATGCCAATGATCCAAGTATATATATTTATGATGAAGAAAGGTGCATCTAGTAAAATGGTTATTTTTTATGCCCCCTGGTCGGGAGGGGGGAGGGGGGGTAATAGTCTGAAAATAAATTAATGCTTTGAAATCTGCTCTTTAGTATTAATCAACCATTTTCTGATAAAATTTGCAAAATTTTGAAATATGTGGCCCCAGGGTCAGTGGTTCCTTTGGGATGAGGTGCACAACTGGTTATAAAGTGGAAGTGCATTCATTTTTCTCTTTGTTACTCTGATCTACATCTGGGTATTAGGTAAATAGAGTAAGCATGCTAAGTTTATAATTATGATAAGCAATATGGTGCCTCTTTCAAAATTGTGAATTGTGAATTTCATGGCCTCTGGTTTAAAACACGAACCAATTTTAATTGTTTGAAAGTTGTTGCACGATACTCAGGTGACCTATAAGGCCGGTGGGCCTCTTGTTTAAAAAAAAATCAAAAGCAGGTCAAACTCGAAGGTCATGGTCAAAAGGTGAAAAAAGGTCTCGTCACAAAGAATATATCTTTGAATTATGAAGGCCATACTACGTGTTCAAAACTCGAAAGCTAATACTTAGAGTTTTCTTAAAAGTGGGGTCATTATCCAAGGTAAAAAAAAATTATCCATGGAAAGGTCTTGAAACAATAAAATTAATTCACATGTGAAATACCGGTATGAAAACCCTATAGTCAACTATATATTGGAAAATTTATGGCTGACTTTAAAGTCTGGTAAATGTAAATTTAAAAAAACCGAATATTCGATTACTAGGGCATAACACAGGCACGTAGCATCGTTTTTGAAAGTGGGGGGGCCAACCTGAGAAATTTTTTTTTTACTTACCTGAAAAAGTTGACAAGCAAAAAAAAAAAAAAAAAAAAAAAAAAACAAAAAAACGCACAAACTTGAAAATCCTATTTCGTAGGGGGGGGGGGGGGGGGGGTAAAGGTAAAATATATAAAAAAAAAGTAAAGGTTATGTTGGGGAAAAAAGTGGGGGGGCCAGGCCCCCCCTGGCCCCCCCGGATGCTACGTCCCTGTAACAAATAACAACGGAAGACTGACAAAAGTTTCATATACATTATGTATATCCAATCTCAAAACCGAGGTCCCATAACTCGGTCTAGGCGTTGGCGCGAAAAAGATCTCTCATTACTCAATGGCCCTTGCAGATCTCCACCGTCAAGTGGTAACGTCTTCATCTGAGTGAAAAATTCTTGAGAAGAACGTTACAATAAACAAACAAACAAAAAAAAAACAACTCAAATTTCAGGGAGATCCATCGAGATTAAAAATTTTGTACTGGCATCTCTTCCGAGAGAGGTGGGTATACAGTTCAGTTCAGTTTATTGAAGTCGAGAGACATACTTCTCATGGACAACAGATTTAGTAATTCCGACGATTTTCGCTGAGATTAATGAAATGTCCTTAAGTATCTTTCCTTTTCAACAGTTTTTACAAAAATATAACCTTGAAACAATTCAAACCAAATGGTTTACTAGTATTCTAACTTAGATTTTCAAAACAGACATTTTAGTATTATATCATATAATGTGTATATAGATCTACGACCATTCAAAATGACAAAAACGTCATTGTTCACACATTTTTTCGGCAAACCCTCGTGTATTTTGACACTATGGTTTTAATTTTACAAGGTACGTGGTTTAAACACCAAGTTCAACTGTATCTGAAGATCTACATCATAACATCCAGGCAAATCTTTGGGTATATTTGAACTTGGTTTTTTGGAAACAAACATCAATATCTTGATTAATCTCGAAACCTTCTAAGCACTTCTCAGATATTTGTCACAGTCCCATCGAGTTCCGAGATAACAAGGTTTGACTGTATAAAAAAATCTATAATGCATTAGTACTTTTGTAAAACGTTTAATAATGCTGTTGTTGGGATAAAGGATAAAAAAAAATCTGAAATACTAACGTTTAAAATCTGAAATTCTAACGTTTTAGAAGTCTTATTTTAAACTCTTTTGGCATATGGGTTAATCCTACAGTTCCCTCCAGAGAAGGCAAACACTCGGGATTCTCTGGTTTTATCTCGAACTTTTGTAGAAATCTGGTGAAGAATAAGAATAGCTCCATTTTGGCAAGAGATTCTCCTAAACACACCCTGCGTCCTGTAAAAAAAAAAAACAGACATGATTTTTGTTATTCTGAATTTAATGTTTGTTATACTATAAAATATATTTTCAGACTTTCAATTAAAATAACGATTTGTTACTGATATGAACTGATTTTTTCATCATTACTCTGTACCGATTGAAAAAGGTATCAGCTTTTTCTTCTGTTCTCCTTGACATTTCCCATTTTCGTCTAAAAACCTCTCTGGTTTAAATTTTGAAGGCTCAGGGAAATTTTCTGGATCCGACAGTACAGAATCTAAAACACAAAATACAATGACGCCTTTGGCAAAACGATGTCCATTGTATACGAAATCCTCATTAGCTGCATGTGGCAAATTCATTGGAACTATGTTTGCCAGGCGTTGAACTTCAAGAATGAACGCATCCACCAATGGCAGTTGTTCCCTGTGTTCCATCTTTGGTTGACCTTGACCAATGACCTCGTCAATGTCTTTCTGGAGCCTTTTCTGCCAGTGTGGATAATGAATCAAGTAAAGAAGCGCCCATCTTAACGTTGTGGAAGTAGTCTCAGTGCCAGCGGCAAAGAAATCTCGAACACTGACGACAAGCTGTTCATCTGTCAAAACAAGTAAAAATCATTATTAAAAAATCTGTCTGAATGAGATTTTAGTATATCTCGTATGTTACAAATTACAGTATGGAAAAAGAGAATGTGCCTTTTCACTTCAACTTTAAAATCTAATGGAAAACGATACTTTAGGTGGGTACGATTTTATTGTTGTTGTTTTTTTTAAATCAGTTACATTTACCTGTAAATGTCGTGTCAATTTCATTCCCTCTTTGTTTTTGTTCCAGAAGGAAGGCATCAATGTAATCTTTAATGTTGTTCTCATCAAAATTCAGTTTGTGCTCCTCTATCATTTCTTTGATAAATGTATTCAGAGCCATAAAGAGTTCCTTTCCTTCGCGAGAACTTCGAAATATTGTTTGCAAATGGCGAAGCCAAGGAAAAAGGAATTGGACTGAAGAAGTACTTGAAGTAGAGACTATTTTATTGAGCAGATAAATTAATCGCTTGAATCTTGCATCCTCGTAATTAAATCTTTTACCGAATAAAAGTGAACAAATAACATTGGATACCGAGGAATTTAGAATGCTTTGTATATCAAAAGCCTCCTGTCCGTATTTTTCTAGTTCATCCATTAAACAGTCTACTTCCTCCATGATCTGACTTTCCAGGCAACGTCTCCCGAATCCAAACTTACGCATCGTAGTCAGAGCGAACGTTCGCTGTTCCTTCCACAATGGACCAGAGGACCAAAGCAATCCTTTAAAACAAAAATAATTTAGAATCAGCATTGTTCGTGGGGGACCACCAATGACCGTGTTTTTCGAGGGTCAAACTTACCAACGAATTTACACGTTATTTTGTAAAATATATATAGTTTTATGGAATCTACCGTATAAACGAGTTTCCCACGAAATTACATGCACAGCGTACATGAACGTCCCTACGAAAAAGTAAAATTTTCCTTGTCTACAAACATTGACCCCTAAGAATTATTAATGATTATTACATAGTGTCAATGTGATATATTGATTGATCTATTTACTGTTTAATTATTTTTTTTTACTTTTTACTACATGGTTTAACTTGCCTACGTATACTGATATACATTAGGACTATCAAACAAACCTTTTCCTTTAGCCACAGCAACTGAAGGAAGAATTTTGGGCCGCTCTGAAAACACATCGCCGTGTTTGACCAGAATTTCCCTTATATGGTGATATCCATGGACAATTATCATAGGTTTGTAGAAAAACATTAAGGAATATATGTCTCCATAAATCTTCTTTAGTCTTCTGTGAGCTGTCACTGCCTCTGAGGGTTGGAAGAGACCCACGTTGCCGATAATTGGGTAGCCCCTCGGACCAGGAGGTAAGGATTTTGGCCGTCTGGCCAGATTAAACATTAAACTGACCAAAACAACAATAATGACCACAGTAACCCACATGATGCAAAATATACTTTTTAACTGAACAAGTATTTCATCTAAGTTGTCAACTTTATTTGATCCTGTTAAGAGTGCTCCCCATGTCAGTTTAAATACGTTAACGCTGTTTACAGTCGACATATATAGCTTTTTAAAACGTTCCAGTTTGTCGCCTTTAAATTCGGTCCAGTTTTTCAACTTGTACTTTTGATATGACACTGAGGACTTATACTGATGAAAGAAGACCAGAAGTATTCATATATTTTGCCGTCTTTTCTGAATTAAATTACACACATACCAATTTCTCTTTAGCCTTGGTCTTGTTAGACACTTTTTCTTTATGCTATCCTATCCATATATACATGCATGTACTTCGGTGTTCTACTTCTCAACATGACACCAAAAATTTGCAATTTTTAAAATATTCGTCTGATTCACAGTACTTGAGTCTTGGTTTATAAATATGTATGTACATTTTTGATATGAAAAAAAGTACTTTTATAAACCAAGACCCAAGTACCTGATTTTATGATGCCTGCATCTCCCCCAAATCAAAATCTTGGAAATAACCAGCTAAAATTATATTTTTTGTTAATTATGCGCCCGTATCGATAGATCCGGGGCGTATATTGTTTTTGTCCTGTCTTCTGTTTATCTGTCTGTTGTCAACTTTAACCTTCGCCATAACTTTTGAACCGTGAGAGATAGAGACTTCATATTTGGTATGTATGAAACGCCAAATTCACAAAACCGAGCTAAACATAGTTTCACAGTCAATAAACTATGGGATTATCGTTTGTAAACTATAGTTTACGGATTGTTAACTATAGTTTACAACGTTAATCTATTTTTACATCTTTAAACTATAGTTAATGCGATAATCTATGTTTCAGAACCGTAAACTTCACTTAACACTGAAAACAATCATTTGTGATTGCAAAACATAGTTTGTTTCACGATTTGTAAACTATGATATACAACAATTAACTATAGTTAACGATCTGATAAATATAGTTTCACGATTTGTGAAACTATGATTAACATTTCTTAACTATTGATCACGATTGTAAATTATAGTTTACAGACGTGAAGCTATGTTTATCAACAAAATCTATTGTTAACGTTTTATTACATCTACAGATAAACTTAGTTTAGCATTCGTACACTATAGTAAACAACCGTTAAATATAGTTTTAAAGATGAAAACTATAGTTAACAAATTGTTAACTATAGTTCACAGTTTGCAAACTATAGTTTACAGTCGATAAACCTAGTTTATCAACTCTGAAACTATATCTAGCTTTTTTGTGAATTAAGCATGCCATACATGTAGATATGTATACTCCACTAATTAAGTTCTTTCTAATGACACCAAGGGCAATGACCTAGTGACCTACAACTGTATATGCTAAAAATAGTTTGTTTTTTTTTAACTTTCGCCATAACCTTTGAACCATAAACTTCATATTTAGTATGCATACTCCACTAATCAAGTTCTTTCTAATGACACCAAGAGCAATGACCTTGTGACTTTGACTGTGACATATGTGCTAAATATAGCTTTTTCGAACTTTCCCATATAACTTTTGAACCACAGGAGAGAGAAACTTCAAAGTGTGAATAGCTTGCATAAACCCAAATTTGGTATGCATACTCATAATTAATTAAGCTCTTTCAAATGACACTAAGGTCAACGACCTTGTGACATTGACTGTGACCTATATGCTAAAAATAGCTTTTTCGAACTTTCGCCATACCTTTTGAACCATAGGAGATAGAGACTTCATATATTTGGTATGCGTAATCCATTAATTAAGTTCTTTCAAACTAAAATGGCATCAAGATCAATGACCTTGTCCTATATGCTAAAAATAGCTTTTTCGAACTTGGTTGCAGCTGGGTGCATAGTGTTTCACAAACATGTTTTGTGTTTTCTTTTAAAATACTGTCATTTTTAGCTCACCTGAGCTGAAAGCTCAAGTGAGCTTTTCTGATCACATTTTGTCTGTAGTCCATCTTGCTGTCTGTAATAGAATGATGTGGTCCACAGGCCTTGCTATAATACCTATATTTCATGTTCTTGTGTTACCGGGTAATACTTTATGTTAAAGGGGGGAGGAGGGGAGGTATAATAAGACTTTACAAACAGTTAGGTAAGATATTATCAATATGATTTCTATAATATAATGTATTAAATCAGTGTTAAACAACTGAGCAGAGATATTTTACATTTTTAGAACACTAATTAAGTTATGTACCTGTTTACATTAAAAAAAATACTCATGCATTCAAGATTTAATAAACAGTATACATGTAAAACATTGCCAATGTAAAAAACAAACACATGTAAGTTATTAAAGATTACATTGATATCACTTGTAAGTGAGTAGGCAGAGTCTCATAACAAATGAATATTAAATGAAAACCAAGACATTTTTTCTATAATAAATTCATCAATACATGACTGGAGTTACACATTAAACATAAGACCTCAATAAAGACTCACATAAGTAGTAGTTACCCCATATCATACTGTTGGTTATGTGTAGATACCCGATGGGCGTGGTCATAATGACACGAGGGAGCGTAGCTCCCGAGTTGTCAATATGACCACGCCCATCGGGTATCTACACATAATCAACAGTGTGATATGGGGTAAATGACTTGTACCATAGTTTTCAAAAATCATTCATATGTAAGTCAGCTTAGGAATCGGTCGGAATGGTTCGTGTGATTGAAACATTAAGCGTTTTGTTTCAAAGATGCATTAGGATTTTATATGATTTTACGCTTCTTCGTGTCCTTCTGACCACGTCCATCAAATATAGGATAAGTGATTTGTATACAATACTTTTCAAATTTTGCTACAAATTTTGCCCTATACTCGGCACTCAAGGTCATTGAACAGTGAGGGATCTTCAAACACCTTCTGCGACACGGTACCTCTGTTTATACTTTACAGGTCTCCCCGTCCCACAGTGGGATTCAACTCCTTATTTCGTGGCTCTAGGGCAGGTGCTTTAACCACTGGGCCACGCAAGCGACATAAAAATTAAACATATCTAGGCCCGTTAAAAAAGTTTGATTTATGTAATTGAAAAAATAACGAGTTTGGTTTCAATGATATATACACCCTGATCATTACACTATTCAAAAAAAATGTTTAAAAAATTCAATTAAGCGATTTCTGAAGTTTTTTCTTTACTTTTAAGTAAAGTATATAAAGTATTAATGGCCGTTTTTAACTGTTATTTATTACAAAATGCTGTATACAATTGAAAATTTTTACTCCTTTTTACTCTCCTAAATTTGGTATAACAAGCCCGAATGATTGTTTCATTTAAAAATCGTGCATGATCGTTTTATAAATAGTTCTTTTGTCCCGACTCGATGGGCGGGGTTATAGAAAAGTGTGGGTTATGTACAGAAAACCCACACTTTTAACAAAAGAAATCACACCTAACTATGGTACAAGACAATTTATAGTCCATACAGCAGTTTGATCTGGATGTCAATGTATATAAGCTCTATAAAACTGCCAGTAGGAAGAATCCACATGCTAGTTTGTGGATACCCGATGGGCGTGGTCATAATGACACGAGGGAGCGTAGCTCCCGAGTTGTCAATATGACCACGCCCATCGGGTATCTACACATAATCAACAGTGTGATATGGGGTAAATGACTTGTACCATAGTTTTCAAAAATCATTCATATGTAAGTCAGCTTAGGAATCGGTCGGAATGGTTCGTGTGATTGAAACATTAAGCGTTTTGTTTCAAAGATGCATTAGGATTTTATATGATTTTACGCTTCTTCGTGTCCTTCTGACCACGTCCATCAAATATAGGATAAGTGATTTGTATACAATACTTTTCAAATTTTGCTACAAATTTTGCCCTATACTCGGCACTCAAGGTCATTGAACAGTGAGGGATCTTCCTGTAAACACCTTCTGCGACACGGTACCTCTGTTTATACTTTACAGGTCTCCCCGTCCCACAGTGGGATTCAACTCCTTATTTCGTGGCTCTAGGGCAGGTGCTTTAACCACTGGGCCACGCAAGCGACATAAAAATTAAACATATCTAGGCCCGTTAAAAAAGTTTGATTTATGTAATTGAAAAAATAACGAGTTTGGTTTCAATGATATATACAAAAGCCTAGAAGGGTCAAATATGGAAAATTAAAAAAAATAAAAAGTCGTTATTATACGAGTTAAAAAGTCGTTATTATGAGATAAAAAGTCGTTATTACGACTTAAAAAGTCGTTATTACGAGATAAAAAGTCGTTATTACGACTTAATAAAGTCGTTATTACGAGATAAAAAGTCGTAATAACGAGATAAAAAGTCGTTTTTACGACTTAATAAAGTCGTTATTACGAGTTAAAAAGTCGTTATTACGATATAAAAAGTCGTTATTACGAAATAAAAAGTCGTAAAAACGAGATAAAAAGTCGTTATTACGACTTAATAAAGTCGTTATTACGAGATAAAAAGTCGTAATAACGACTTTTTAAGTCGTAATAACGACTTTTCATCTAGTTATTACGACTTTTTAAAGTCGTAATAACGACTTTTTATCTCGTAATAACGACTTTTTAACTCGTAATAACGACTTTATTAAGTCGTAATAACGACTTTTTATCTCGTTATTACGACTTTTTATCTCGTAATAACGACTTTATTAAGTCGTAATAACGACTTTTTAAGTCGTAATAACAACTTTTTAACTCGTAATAACGACTTTATTAAGTCATAATAACGATTTTTATCTCGTAATAACAACTTTTTAACTCGTAATAACGACTTTTTTAAGTCGTAAAAACGACTTTTTGAGTAGCAATAACGAATTTTTAAGTCGTAATAACGACTTTATTAAATCGTAATAACGATCGACTTTTTATCTCGTTATTACGACTTTTCATCTCGTTATTACGACTTTATTAAGTCGTAATAACGACTTTTTATATCGTTATTACGACTTTTTATCTCGTAATAACGACTTTATTAAGTCGTTATAACGACTTTTTATCTCGTAATAACGACTTTTTAAGTCGTAATAACGACTTTTTTACTCGTAATAACGACTTTTTAAAGTCGTAATAACGACTTTTTAACTCGTAATAACGACTTTATTAAGTCGTAATAACGACTTTTTATCTCGTAATAACGACTTTATTAAGTCATTATAACGACTTTTTATCTCGTAATAACGACTTTTTAAGTCGTAATAACGACTATTTAACTCGTAATAACGACTTTTTAAAGTCGTAATAACGACTTTTTAACTCGTAATAACGACTTTATTAAGTCGTAATAACGACTTTTTAAGTCGTAATAACGACTTTTCATCTCGTTATTACGACTTTTTAAAGTCGTAATAACGACTTTTCATCTCGTAATAACGACTTTTTAACTCGTAATAACGACTTTATTAAGTCGTAATAACGACTTTTTAAGTCGTAATAACGACTTTTTAAGTCGTAATAATTACTTTTTAACTCGTAATAACGACTTTATTAAGACGTAAATACGACTTTATTAAGACGTAATAACGACTTTTTATGCTTAATAACGACTTTTTAACTAGTAATAACGACTTTTTAAGTCGTAATAACGACTTTTTATAGTCGTAATAATTTTTTCGTAATAACGACTTTATTAAGTCCAATAACGTTTTTATCTCGTTATTACGACTTTTTATCTCGTAATAACGACTTTATTAAGTCGTAATAACGACTTTTTATCTCGTTATTACGACTTTTTAACTCGTAATAACGACTTTATTAATTAAAAACACTTTTTAAGTCGTAATAAACTTTTTAAGTCGTAAAAACGATTTTTAAGTCGTAATAACGACTTTATAATCACGTTATAACGACTTTTTTAAAGTCGTAATAACGACTTTTTTTAAATCGTAATAACGACTTTTTAAGTCGTAATAACGACTTTTTAAGTCGTAATAACGACTTTTCATCTCGTTATTACGACTTTTTAACTCGTAATAACGACTTTATTAAGTCGTAATAACGACTTTTTTACTCGTAATAACGACTTTTTAAAGTCGTAATAACGACTTTTTAACTCGTAATAACGACTTTATTAAGTCGTAATAACACTTTTTAAATAACGACTTTATCAGTCATTATAACGACTTTTTATCTCGTAATAACGACTTTTTAAGTCGTAATAACGACTATTTAACTCGTAATAACGACTTTTTAAAGTCGTAATAACGACTTTTTAACTCGTAATAACGACTTTATTAAGTCGTAATAACGACTTTTTAAGTCGTAATAACGACTTTTCATCTCGTTATTACGACTTTTTAAAGTCGTAATAACGACTTTTCATCTCGTAATAACGACTTTTTAACTCGTAATAACGACTTTATTAAGACGTAATAACGACTTTTTAAGTCGTAATAATTACTTTTTAACTCGTAATAACGACTTTATTAAGACGTAAATACGACTTTATTAAGACGTAATAACGACTTTTTATCTCGTAATAACGACTTTTTAACTAGTAATAACGACTTTTTAAGTCGTAATAACGACTTTTTAAGTCGTAATAACGACTTTTTAACTCGTAATAACGACTTTATTAAGTCGTAATAACGACTTTTTATCTCTTATTAATTTTTATCTCGTAATAACGACTTTATTAAGTCGTAATAACGACTTTTTATCTCGTTATTACGACTTTTTAACTCGTAATAACGACTTTATTAAGTCGTAAAAACGACTTTTTAAGTCGTAATAACGACTTTTTAAGTCGTAAAAACGACTTTTTAAGTCGTAATAACGACTTTATTAAGTCGTAATAACGACTTTTTAACTCGTAATAACGACTTTTTTAAAGTCGTAATAACGACTTTTTTTAAATCGTAATAACGACTTTTTAAGTCGTAATAACGACTTTTTAAGTCGTAATAACGACTTTTTATCTCGTTATAACGACTTTTTATCTCGTAATAACGACTTTATTAAGTCGTAATAACGACTTTTTATCTCGTTATTACGACTTTTTATCTCGTAATTACGACTTTATTAAGTCGTTATAATGACTTTTTATCTCGTTATTACGACTTTTTAAGTCATAATAACGACTTTTTAACTCGTAATAACGACTTTATTAAGTCGTAATAACGACTTTTTATCTCGTAATAACGACTTTTTAACTCGTAATAACGACTTTTTTTTATTTTATTTTCCATATTTGATCCTTCTAGGCTTTCGTAGATATATGTTAATTTGATATGATTTTTTTTCTCGTTAATTTCAATCGTCAAAATTACATACTAGTAATTTAAATTTATTATGAACTTGGTTTAACTTAAATTTTTGTAAACCTGATACAAACTTTGCCGTGCATAGTGGTACATTGATTGAAATGTTTGTTAGGGGTTATGTATATTTCATTTTAATGAAAATTAGATCTTTGATCGGCTAGATCCGCAATCGAAAATGTTATTTAAGTACAGTAGTGTACACTTGCTTTTACGTCAAGTATGTACCGTGTTTCCTTTGTTGGTTATCAAAAGAACGATATATTAGAATCTACTTAGCTAACGTCACCCTGATCATTACACTATTAAAAAAATGTTTAAAAAAATCAATTAAGCGATTTCTGAAGTTTTTTCTTCACTTTTAAGTAAAGTATATAAAGTATTAATGGCCGTTTTTAACTGTTATTTATTACAAAATGCTGTATACAATTGAAAATTTTTACTCCTTTTTACTCTCCTAAATTTGGTATAACAAGCCCGAATGATTGTTTCATTTAAAAATCGTGCATGATCGTTTTATAAATAGTTCTTTTGTCCCGACTCGATGGGCGGGGTTATAGAAAAGTGTGGGTTATGTACAGAAAACCCACACTTTTAACAAAAGAAATCACACCTAACTATGGTACAAGACAATTTATAGTCCATACAGCAGTTTGATCTGGATGTCAATGTATATAAGCTCTATAAAACTGCCAGTAGGAAGAATCCACATGCTAGTTTGCTTTACTTAAGTTGAATTTTCTTTTCTCTGGCTGACCCCCCTCCCCTCTTCCTTTCCAAAGTGATGCTTCATCCCTGTTTATGATAATGAGGGCTTCCACTAGCATGGACTATATTTCTAATTTTTTTATCTGCTTAAAGGCCATTAGTGTCAAGTACAAAGTACATGCAAGTCTAAATCTGCAGCCCTCCACCAGCAATTTGTGGCTTATCAAAATGAATTAAAACATTCTCAAAAGGCCAAAAAGCAAACAAAATAACAAACTCATTATGTCACAAAGCTGGTATATGACAATATAGTCATTACTGAAACAGAAACATACAAATACAACCCCCCTTACACACACACACACACAGACATACAAAGACCGATTTGTTACCATGTGCTAAAGTCTTAGTTCTCAGATCAAACATAATACATTGTAATGCATTTAAAAAATATCAGTGTAAGAAGATTATGAATTTCATTTTACGCTAACAGGCCACAAAAGATGGGAGACATTTGCAATGATTGATGGATGAGACACTCTGACAATTAAGTAACTAACTTCTGATGATAGGCATGATTCTTGTTCTGTTTGTATTTGCATAAAAAAATTGTGTAAAAATAATTTAATAAAGTCATATTGTTCTGTTATCTGTCACGCTTGTATATCTTCTTGGCAAATGTTAAAAAAACAGATTTCGGCAAGCTCCCTCTTTGATTTTCAATCAAAGTTACAAGTTCCTTGTAGCTCTCTTCTTCGAATTCATGATAGAGTTCCTTAAGGTTCAATTCTTTATATAAATCTTTCACTCTCTGTACTTTATTTGGATCAGTATCTGCATAATTTTCCTGAAAAATACATTGAAGTTCCTCTTAAGAAATAATTTAATTTTTGAAGATTCATGAGGTTATGAACTACGATGCTTCACGCCGGCATATTTCATGAAGCACATTAGCGCTTCATGATAAATATGCCGGCGTCAAGCATTGTAGTTCATATACTTCATGAATCTTCAAAAAATTAAAAATTCATTTCTTATATTTACATTATTTTTCTGATGACTTGCCATAAATTTACGCTGTTCAACTGTCATTTTTAAAACAAAACAGTGTGCACTGTATTTTTTGACGTCAAGAGCGGTATTATGACGTAATAATGGAGATATTCATGCTTATTCATGATACATACCTAATGTAGTTCATGAGAAAATATACTGCATTTTATTTTGTAAAGAATCATAGGGGAAATTTATTGGAAATGTAAATATTTAAATATAAACTGTATCACAAGTATGAATACACTTTACACGCAAACCAAAATAACTTTAACACTGACCAAATTACCAAGTCCTTCACCTACCTCTAAAATCTTCCTCTGAGATGGAGTTGCCTTTTTCAGAGCCTGTATTGCTAACCAGCTACATTTGTTCTCCTGAATATCAGTTCCTATTTTTCCTATAACCTCTGGATTTCCATAACAATCTAAGTAATCGTCCTGAAAGCAAAACAGACTTTACTTCATGCATTTGAAATTATAAAACTATTCTAGTTTAAAAGTTTAAAACTATCTAGAACTGGTGAGAAATTCAACAGAATTTAAATAAAAAATATTTCAATACACAGATGAAGCTACAGATGGAGATATACCTGTATTTGGAAATATCTGCCCATATGCAGTAAGATGTGTTGTGCTCTCTGGTGTGAATCTTCATCAGATATACCACTCTACAAATATTAATAAATGGTCATCTGTTACATCATTCTGCAAATATTTAAATGGTATCGTAATCAGTTATGTATCCGAATCTAGTCTACATATACCACTCTACCAATGGTCCAATACAGTAATCAAATATGACAATCAGTTATACACAATACAAATACCTAATCATAATCAGTTACACCACCAAGTTTCTAAAATCCAAATTGTTATCATGGTAAAATATGTACTGTATGTGTACTTTAAAAACCGGGCTTCATATTTCAGCGGTTTTGGCGCAGACAACAATGCGCTGATTCATGAATACCGCTAAGAAATAATTTATATAAACAATACACTAAACGGACATGTGTAGGGCTAATTTATGATTACGCCAACAACTCCATACCCAGTGATTATACTAAACTTTGAATACGCCAAATTATGTACACGTACAGTATATCAAAGAAATTCAATATGAAAATTTCAGGGCATCATACATTTACAATACTTGTATATCCTACCATGTACATTGCCAGTGCCACAGGTAGATAGAAGGAGTAATATCCGGTTTTCCACTTGACGATGGCATTGTATCGGTCTTCCGTGAAGTCTGTGAAATCTACTCTGCCACCAGAGGGAGCTATGATCAGGTCCAGGCACTGACCCCGCACTGTCTGCATGGTTGTCTAGGAAACAGAAAATACTTTCACTTTAAAATATGTTGAATTACTTAACCTTAGTAAATTTGAGTTGCTCATCTTCTACATGAACAGTACTTGTCCTCAGTGTATTATTAGGGGTATGCATGGATAAACTACTTCCAGTATTTCAATGACTATAAATGTACATCCTCTCTTCCACCCTTGGGATGAAGAGTTGACAGAGATTTATACCATTGTAATAATTATCACACAACCCTGATTACATCTTACATAATTATACTACAACAAAAGTTAAGGAGGTACAATGTTTTTTAACCATCCATCAGTCAGTATCAATCCTGTCCTTGTCATTGCAATTTCTCAAGAACATAAGTAATTTTTACAACTTGTTATTAAAGATGTCGGTATTTGAGATTTCAAAGTTCAGCTGTATTTATAAATATTATAACATGAAGCATAAATGCTTGTAAAAATCCAGGAACAAATAGTAGACTCTGATGGTTAGTTTGAGAAACTTACCTCATGAAATAAGTCTACAATGTTGATGTAATATGGCTTGTCTCTGCAATATTTACGCATGATGTGGTAAACACAGGATTCCAGATAGAAAGCATCATTCACTGCCGTCATCCCCACCCCATCCTAAAATGTGCAAACACTTTATTTAACATCAGTTTATGTCTCCTATAGGACAAACAAAAATCTCAAAATTTTACACAATACAAATGTTCTGGTTTGAACAAATTAAGAAATGCAGTACATTTGTAGTGATTCACAACAGTGAATTTACATGTGACCGAATAGAGAAAAAAGGACAAATTGACAAATTATGTACACAGGTTCACAACTTCATTTTTTAAACTGATATTTGAGGTTTTACCGTTTACCCTACCTTTTTGTACCAACATGGCCTTCCTCTCCTTATTGTAGAGTTATCCATTATGTCATCTGCGACAAGGAAAAAGGCCTGAAGCTGAAATCATTCAAAAGTGCTATAATGCTATATTTGTATGTAAAGTACAAGCATATGAATTCTTCTCAGTTATTTAAATTTTTTCATAGCCAGTGACCCTTTTCACAAAAACTCTTAAGACTACATGGACTAAGATATTACAATGTTTCACACTTCTGTAAGATTTTCTTAAATAAAGATATTCATTTTAAAAAAAAAATGTTATTTACAATGTTGTCTAAATAATGAAAAAGAAAGACATTTTGTAATGTACTACAACGTAGATGCTCGTTGGAGAATAGTAAATTTTTTGTGTGAAAAGGGCCACAATTCTGTACTTATTTAATTAGTGCATGTGACTTACCCATTCTACACACCAACCTAATACTCTGGCAATTTTTTCTTCCTCTTCTGAAACTATTTCTTTCAAGCATCTTAAGGAAGCAAGGACTGCCAAACCTCTGTTCCTTTTACCATGTGGAACATTATATTCTGATACCTGAGTATAAAGATGACAGAAATTATATTTCATGAAAGCAAACATTATGTAATAACTGTGGAACATGCCATTAATAAATACCTCTTTGAACCAGGCGAACACTTTGTCTAATTGCTTTTCTTTTGAACATCCATCATTCAAACATTCCAGCAACTCAGGAAAAAGTTTGTCAAATTCTCCCAGTTCATCCATTTTAGCTCTCTTTGGGACTGAATTGTGGTTCATGGTGCTGAAATTTCGTATTCGGCGTAAGGTCAAATGATCATAACAGCGACGGCATGTTCCTAAAAATAAAAGGAAAGTAGAATTTCTATTATTAGCTATATGATTAATGAACACGTCCTCTACGTATGTGGCTTCAAGGCATCACATATACAGTAACTAAACATTTGCTGTTAATCATATAGAGAAAACACATCAATTTAAGCCATACTGTATGAACGCAAAATCGACATGAAACACATTGACATTGCACTTTTGCCACTGAGAAAATTCGAATTAAACAGTTGTAACCCTATCTATCCCCTAGCCTTCTGTAGTTCTTGTTAACAAAAGGATTTTAGATTATGACTTATGTATTGCAGCTCATATATTATTATGCTTTCATTGTTTCATATAGAAAATAAACAGTGTAAATGTGAAATACCGGCTAATCAAGTGGATCATGCCGCATGACATGTTGATTTGTGTATCGTTTAGAGTGATCTGCCCTTGATAAGAGAAAAAAGGAGCGGATCATAAAATGAAATATATACACAAAAAGAGGTTCAGCCCTAACATGAAATATGGATAACGAGCATTAAGGCAAAAAGGACATAAAGTAATATTTAATAATAACCACAAAAGAAACGAAAAACATTACATGACGCCTGTCTAGATCTGTCAGAAACCCGGGAAAGGGATGGTGGATTTATTCTCTGAAGTGGACAGTTTTCGCCTACATCCTCATGTGCATGATGTAGGCGAAAGCCTGTCCACTGAAGAACCCTAAAGAGAATTTATACATATCGGTCAGATCAAAGCCATCTGAAGGCCTGTGAGCAGAACAAATTCAAAATATTTTTTTCCAATATTGCATTACTAAAAAAAAAAAAAAATGATGTTATCTGGGTCCGTGTAACACTTAATTAACAAAACAAATTGATTTCGTGTACTGAAATTTAATATTTAGTTTAAAAAAAAAAACTTTCAAATTTCTAAACACAAGTTTGAAATGATTTTTTTAGACTTTTATTATAAATATTTAAATTTTTTTTATAATTTCCAAAAAACAAGTTTGATATCTTAAACTTTTGAATTTTTAATCTTTCGTTTGTTTGTTCAGAAATTAAACACTAAAACAATCTAAAGTTCATTACCATTTTACTTGACCGGTCGGCAGGGGATGCTCACTCCTCCATGGCACCTGATCCCACCTCTGATGTTTCGGAGGTCCGTGTTTGCTCTGCTCTTATTTTGTATATTGTTTAATGGACGTTGAGATTGAATACTGTTCGTTATCTCCATATCCTTCTTTTGCTATTTTTTAAAATTAACTTAATTCAAACTTCTAAACAACTTTAAAAACATTTAAATGATTTTTTTTTTTGAAATTTGAAATTTAGATTCAAACATTCAAATTTCAAATAATTAAAACACTTTAAAAAAAGGATTTTTACTTCAAATAACCAACAATCAATCAATACGTCATTCGAAGAATAAAAGGAAATAAATATTTGTTCACATTATTAGAATCTCTTGTCTTAAACATGATGACTAACTTTTCAATCGTCAACTTCCCTTACTTATGCAGCAATATACCTTAATCACCTGAAAATATAATCTCAGTTGACTCAATACGCAATAGCATGCTTTATGTATTTATAAACAATTTCTAAAATGAGTGGTAAGTTAATGTCAAACAAGTTGATGAAACAATAATATCAACAGTCTCATTTAAAGCCATCGTTTATTCAGTTCTATGGTCGATACAATGACCTTGTCAGCAAATACAACTTATCACTGAGTCAAATGGTGACTGACGTTTTTCATACTAACTGTTAGTTCATTATTTAAACAATGAAATGAGTGAATTGACGACAGATTTTCCCGTTATATCCCGATCATGATAAGGAGCACACGGCGGGTGTGACCGGTCGGAAGGTGGTGTTCACTCCTCCTTGGCACCTGATCCCACCTCTGATGTTTTTGAGGCCCTCGTTTGCTCTGCTCCTATTTTGTATTGTTTTATGGATTTGGATCTTGAATACTGTTCGTTATCTCCACATGTTTTTTTTTTTCTGTCAAAGGATATATTGCAGACACTGACACAAACGTTAAAGAATGACGGCGTATTTGTAAGCTTTACCCCTATCTGAGACAAAATTGTCGTAATTTTGAAACTTCAAGGGGAAAAAGTTTTATTTTTCTAAAAAAAAAAAAGAAAGAAAGAAAAAGAAAGAAAGAAAGAAGAGTTAATGTGAATATGGATATAAGTTCTCTTCTGTTTTGCTCTGTTGTGTCAAAGTTTCATGCAATCTACAAGAAGCATAATCCCTGTTGAGATTCTGCTGGACTAGATATTTGGACTGACGTCGTCTGTCCAAATATCTAGACTAGCAGAATCTCAACAGGGATTACAAGAAGCACAAACAATTATATATGTGATTTCTAAAGGGTATAATTTGTAAACTGTGCATACAATGGATTTGAAATTAAGTTGCAGGAAATAGTTACTGTTTTAAGTTGAATTCCCTTTCTGCATTATACATTGATTTAAGTTAATGGACAAAATCATCAAATAATCAGTGTTATGTTTATTGCATTTTTATCCCCCGCTTGAAAAGTGGGGGATATTAATTTGGGTTTGTCCGTCCGTCCGTCCGTCTTTCTGTCTGTCTGTAACGCTTTCGTTTCCACACGATATCTCGAGAACCCTTTGAGCTATAAATTTAGCATAGCAACTGCACTAAAGATTTGATTTTGAGGTCAAAAGGTCAAAGGTCAAGGTCATAAATAAGCAAATTCTGTTGTTAAAACACTTTCGTTTCCAAATCTCTAGAACCGTTTGAGATATTGCAATGAAATTTTACATAACAACTCCCTGTGGCCTAATGAAGACCCCTATTGATTTTGAGATCAAAGTTCAAGGTCGTAAATTTATACATTCTGTCTGTGTGTAACACTATCATTTCCGGGCGATATTTCAAGAAGATTTTGAGCTTATGCAATGTAATTTTATACCAAAAACTCCCTAGGACGTCTCTCGCCCCTCTCAAAGTGCCCCGCCCCGTTTGTTTTATTAGTATTTATAGTATTACTTGTGGCTATTTTTAGCGCGCATGAGGAGAGTTATTGCGTATAAAACAGGTTCTCAGCGGACTTTATGTTCTTATTACATCTATTAGAACTGTTTAATAAAGGCTAAATAAATCAAACACCATGGATTGTGTAAAATTTTGAGAATACCGAACATGAAAACATGTATATATACATGTATGTGACTTCAGTTCTGCATATACTTCTCATATTGTAAAGCGACACCGTGGTGTAGTGGTTATGTCTCTCGCTTCAAAAGATCAAATAATCAGTTTTTTTTTTGTTTTTTACTATGATTATTCAGCATTTTTATGAGGTTATAAAATCATCATTACAGAGTGATAAATATTCCATATAAAAAATCTTCTATACCATAATAAAGAATAAGCAATCAAATCTTTATATGCATATTGACATACATGTATTTTATTTGCTTCATATACATGTATACATTTAATAATTCTACAAATTCAGTCAGGGGGATGCTGTCATTCTCTGAATTAGCTTGTTAAAAAATCCAATTAGTCTCCATGCTATCAATTCATAGCTGATCATGATGCTGTCATTTAGATTTTAGTTTAAAATACAACATGACATAAGGAGAATTAATATTTAAATTTTTATATATACTATAAAACTAAAGTCTTTAAATGAAAGCAATCCCTATAGATTTAGAACATCGACCGAGAATCTTACCAAAGTACGTGTAAATCTGCCTCTATTTTATTAATGCGCTTCACTACTAGTACTTAATACATTTGTTTATGTGGTTATGTTAAATGAAAATTGTCATTTCCCAGATGGATATAACGAATATTGCAATTTACCAAATGGACACATCAGGTTTGGTTATTAATAATTAATCGTTTCCTGCTGTATTCCTTCGATGCGACATCCCTGAGCTGTTGTTTGAAATCGAAAGATGGTATCTGAAACTCTGATTTGCCGGGATGATGCATAGAAAAGTTGAAAATTGCTTAAAAATAATTTGACTTTCTGTATTAAATGTAATATACATTGTATGTCAAACTTTCGAGGCGATGTTAGAATAAGACATATCATGCTACAAGTAGCGATACACCCGAAGCAATCTTTACCTCGGCAAGAAACTTTAGAAAGTCAGACTGGCATTTTATCGGATCGCGTGGACTCATATGACATAAAAGATGTAAGTGTCGAAAAAAGAAAGGATTCACTCGGCGAACTTTGGTGGAAATTTTTATCTGAGACGACTTGTCATGGATTTGGGAAAGTAGGCACCGTGCGAGGAAACAGACTGAGAGGGTAAGATATTGTGTGTGTTTTTAATGTTTCAAAATTTTGTTAACCTTTTGAATCATATTTTAATTAAGTGTATTATTCTTCCTGTGTCACTAACTACGGATTTTTTTGTCAATATCAACTGTTCTAGTAAAAATACAAATTACAAAGAAGATTTGTTTTCAAGTTATCTTAAAGGTTTTGTTGTTTTTTTTTATTCCAGGCTTCGTAATCAATAGACAATTTTTATATGATTTTATTGATTTATCATATGATTTTGTTGAAAAAATAAAAAGAACAATTGAATTTGTAAGCAGAATACGCAAAATCTAAATGCATGTATGTTTTCTTTTTCAGAGTTATATGGACACTTTTCCTTTTAACCTCATTGGTTTCTATCGTTTGGTTTTTGGTGGACGAAATACGGTGTTATTACACGTATCCGTTTCTAAGCAAAATATCTCTAGAAAGTTTCGAAAGAATGCATTTTCCTGCGGTAACCATCTGCAACATGGGCTCCAAGAACAAATCAAAATCTTCTAAATCTCAAAAAGATACCGATTATTGGTTATCGGTCTCCAACATGGCCGCTTTTACAAATGAGGTCGACTGGAACGACTCGTATTACAAGGAAAATGGATATTTTGAGCCAAATAGTTTGGAACAAGAATTGAGCTTGAGCATGGACGTCTCCAAGTTTATCTTGACGAGCACTTTCGACTTCTTGGATGGACAGGAGTTCAAACCCACCCTGACCTCTGTAGGGGTTTGCTTTACATGGAACAATGATGGAAACATGACCACAAAAATGAGCGGATCTCTTTACAATCTCCATGTCTTACTGGACATACACAGGGATCTTTATGAAGCAAGTTTTATCTCCGCGACTGGGGTCAAGGTCAGACTTGTCACTTAAGCTGATCAAAATTTGTCCGTTGTCTGTCGTTGTCGTCGTCGTCGTTGTAAACTTTTCACAAACTTCTCCATCTTCTTGTTCAGAACTGTACATGTACCGGACCAATTTCAACCAAACTTGGCACAGGGTATCCTTGGGTGAAGGGGATTCAAGTTTGTTCAAATAAAGGACCACCACTTCTCCAACGGGATACGGAATAGCGAAAAATTGATGACATTATTAAATCGGTAGTGTAGATTGACGATCAAAATTTTACATAAATTTTTAACAAAAAAGGAAAACTCTTATAAAATCTTCTCAAGAACAGCAAGATAACGATTGCTCATAATTATATACGTGAAAACATATTAGGGTGGTGAAGATTCAAGTTTGTTCAAATCATGCCCACGGGGGCACAATGAACGATCAAAGTTTTACACAGGAATCTATAGGATATATCTTTTCAAAACAATTCTTTTCAAGACCAGCAAAGTCATAGTTGGTCAGATTTATATATCGAAGTATCCTCAGAAAGTGTAGATTCAAGTCTAATCATTCAAATCATGGCCCCCACTGTAAAAAAAAGTCTTCTCAGAATTACCTATTGTGATCTACAAACGCAATAAAAACTTGGGTGATATTCTCACCTTCTCAACAATTAAATATTTTATTTTATTATTTATGTGTAGATGCATAAATGCATAATGCAAATAAACTCCCGATGAGGCGGATTTGCAGCAATATGAAGAAAACTATTTCTTCATCATAAATCAATTTATCAAAAATATACCTCGTTTCACACCGCCGAAACACTAAATTAGTGTAGAGTCAAGTGATCGGAGGTACGTGGCTGATGGGAGCCACCTGTTTGAAAAAAAAAATGAAAAAAAAAAAAAATGAAAGTTCAAACTTGTAGGAAAAAATTTACAGGTAGTCAAAATCAGGTAAATATTTTCGTATAATGGAAAAAAGACAGTGCATGATATTACTTTAAAATTAATATCTTTGAGTGTTCTTATTGTTTTCGATAACTGCATAGAACGTTTATACAGTGAAACTGACTAACCCGAAATGCATTTGGAGACAAATTTTGTGTCGGAATAGACAGGGTGTCGGATTGCATAGTGTTAAAAACAAGGAAAATACAACGGGAAAGAAATTTAACGTCGGAATTCACAATGTGTCGGATTATTTAGGTGTTGGATTAGACAGTTTTCACTGTATTTGCTTAAATTTTCGATATTTCTCCTATAAAAAGATGTGAAATAGAAACTCATGAATTTCAATGAATTAATATATACTAGTATATAAATCTTTTTTTTTTTTTTTGAAAGATTGAGGAAGACGAGAACAAAATCGAAACCAAACATGTTTAAAACAACTTAACCCGTCTCCTGAAAAGTAACAGATAGTTACATGTCTATACGTACAGAATGCAGAATGATATTGTTGAAGCAATTTGTAATACAGAAATAGGGTTATTTCTTTTTCAAAATATGACAGGACCTTTTTTAAAACTATTTGTTTGAAGACTCTTCAAACTACATATATGAGCATGTCTTTTCTTGTTCTGTTATTTGGTATATAGGTTGTGGTACATGAGCCAGGCACCATACCGGATCCCATCAATCAGGGCTTTGTTGTCGCCCCGGGAGTGTCTGCACTCGCATCTGTGACCAAAAAAAAGGTAACCATGAAATGAGTACTTTTCAGTAACTGATATATTTTTGCTTTAGAAGTTCTGTTCACAAGTACAATGTAGTTCAGTGGTGGACAAGGTGCCCAGTGTAGATTCTGTAAATTCATGGTCGTTTTGGTTTCATTCAAAATGATAATTTCTTAGCACGTACAGCGGATGTAATCGGTCGAGAGGGGATGTTTACTCCTCCATGGGCACCTGATCTCACCTCAATTTTTATAAATGACTTTTTGAGCATACAAGATCACATGCATTATATTAAATTGTGAATCTGGGCATACCGTGTTAATGATTTTATATGCACAGAAACATTTCAATTCGTTATAAAGATAATAACAAATATTGATGCACAATCATTGATGTACTAATCACCACCCATGCAAATTCTAATTAATGAGACTGTACTACATTTTTCTGTTTAGTTTACCTTTTTGCCATATCCTTTCAAAGCCTTTGGGGATGGGTATTGTTTGGACACAAATGCTCCAGACTTTGTCAACAAATTCCACCCCACACCATACAGTGTTAGCGTTTGTAAAAAGTTCTGTCTCTCAGAAATAATTTTCAAGAAATGTGGCTGTGTGAATGTTGGTGATTTAGGTAAATATATTTCGTATATATTTATTCGCTCAAGTTGCTATATGCCTTGTGCACAGGTACTTGTGGACAAGACCCCCCCCCATTCATCATGTGTACTATAGATAAGAAAAATCCAAAATAATTGTACCACAAAAAAGTACCCTAGTATTAATATTTTTTGTGGAACGATTATTTTGGATTTTTCACGATTTTTTTTGTCTATGGTACACATGATGAATAAGTGTAATAAATATAATTTGTGAAAAAAATGTCCAACAAGCCACGGGGTTGAATATCGGGGGGGGGGGGGGGGGGGGGGTTCAGGTCCACAAGTACCCGTGGCCTAGTGTTAGTCCATATCCAGTTCTGTCCACAAGTACCCGTGGCCTAGTGTTAGTCCATATCGTGCTCTCATGCAGTCAAATTGATAACACCTACTTTGCTTTTTTTTTTCTTAGGGTGGGTGTAAGATTTCATTTTATAAGTTTTAAGACATGTCAAGTTGAATACAAAGTAATTTTAAAAAAAAAGGAAACATAATATTGGGAGCATATTTGTCTGTACTTCTTTAATTTGTACTGATCTGACTTGTACAATACAAAGTCTCTTAGAATAAACAATACCTACTAATATTTGCTCTCAGTCGTTTTTTTTTAAACTGAAAAAATACATGTATTTGAAATCAATACTCACCTATGATACTGATAAAAAATAAAAAGGCTAGACAATTATTGGTCATAATTTAGGTATTATTCTCCCCCGATTATTATATATGTAATATTTTGTAATAATGATTAACTTCTTTTTTTTTTTTTTTAGGAAATTACCCTATTTGTTCAAAGTACCAGATCTCGAAATGTTACCTTAAAGAAATCGGTATGTATAGAATTTTAAAGATGATCATTATATATACCTGATGACTAATATCCCTCTGCATGTTCTAGATTTCACATTTTAAAAAAACAACTTTCCAACATTTATTTTCATAAAGAACGATCAGATTCAAATTAAAAATATCATGAGCAATGAAGCGCTATACCTCGTTAATTTAATATCAGAAATGATTTTAATGTCAGAGCATATATGTAATACATGTATGAGAAAAAATTATGGGTAATATCAGAATTTTTGACGGAAAGTTATCGCTCTTATCAGAGGGTCGGTCCCCCCTTAACATGTGTGTTCTGATGACAGGCAAACCATGAATTTTATTTATGATATATAAGGGAAACTGATATACCAGGACGCTCAGAATGTTATCCAGTGTGACTGCCCCTACCCGTGCCACCAAATGACTTACGACGTGGCTGTGTCCACTAGTCAGTTTCCCTCGGATATTTTGGTCCAGGTTCTGTCTTCACACTTCAACACATCACAGGAACGACTTAAGTAACGCAATTTTATTTTCCCTAATTTTAATGAAGAAATGTATGAACTTTTAATTTTTATACACTCATATTCTACAACGACAGGTGTTTATTTATTTTCTTTTCCCCAAATCAATTTTGTGACACATAGATATTAGTAAGACAAATGTTCGTCTTTGAATAGGGACAACATACTGGAGATATCGATATTTTATGATAAATTGAATTACTTCTGGATGAATCAAGTCCCGAAATACGAAAGAATAGGAAATGTTTTGGGTACGTACGTTTGTTGTTTGCGCATGCTTTCCTCCTTAACATATACTGTTACAAAATCACAAATGTTCGTGGGGTCGAACTTTCAAAGTTTTTGGGGATTTGATTTCATGGTTGGAGAATTGTTAGTGGTAATAAAATTTTGCATTTCATGGTGGGTCTCTCTATACCTGGAAAACAACGAAAATTACCCCCCCCCCTCTCCCCGACACCGAAAATTTGTGATTTCACAGCAATATAAATTATGTCAAGAAATTTTCTTGATTATGTATAATGTATATACTACTATTCATATTTTGTTCATTGTTATTTTAGCTAGCATTGGTGGTCAGATGGGACTATTCATTGGAGCAAGTGTTCTCACAATGCTGGAATTCATGGAAATAATTTTTTTAGTCTTGTTGTTTATCTTCAAACAGCTATGCTTCAAGCCAAGAAAAAACCCAAAAGATGCTGTCGCTTAGCATTTAATTTTTTAAGAGAGAGAGAGAGAGAGAGAGAGAGAGAGAGAGAGAGAGAGAAATATATAATATAGAAATATTTTTTAAAAAAACCGGTAAAATGTGTAATAAGTTAAAGTTTTTAAAAAAGTTTTAATGTCTTGCATATATTTTTGAATAAATATATATTTTACCATATTAAATGTGTATATAATAAAGTTTTATATATTAAATAAAGGATATAAGTTTTTTTAATGAAAAAAAAACCTCTTGCATATATTGTTTATTGATAAATATTTTATACATATTAAAAGTGAGATCAGATTCAGAAAAGTGTTCTATTTATATATTGCATTAAAAAAATGTTCCGTGATACTGAAAAAAACCTGTTGTTCCTTTAATCAAAGTCTTTTATCGCTAACATCTCTTTAATTCTTTAAAAAAAATATATTAAAAGGGGGGCATGAAAAGGGGGATGTCGTTGATACAATCCGAGTGTACAGTTCGAAACTGTTGCTTTTGATCCAGATAACCTATATACATACACTATTCCTATAGGAGCATTCAAGTCATTGTTCATCGTCTCAAACCACGGCCGTAATGTATGATTCTCTCTATATTTCTGACTACGGACCGTAGTTTGAGACGATGTTGTCCGACACTTCCTTGTATCCAGCATCCTCGAATGTCATGGGGTCCTGAGTCAACAAGATGCCGTTGTCCAAAGTCCATGTTTTGCAAAGAAAATCCCGAATATTTTTTGTTATCGAGAGGTAAATTATCAGCAGTAGCTAATAAAATACGATTCTACCAAAGCCTCATTAATATCTATATCCCTATATGTGTACGTAATTGAAGATTCAGGGTTTTTTTTAGCCTTGTCCGCCCGACTGCCTGTCTGTATGTCCGCATTTTTTTTTTAAACCTTGGCCATAACTTTAAAGTCGGTGGGGCTATGACTTTCATATTTCATATGTATTTCTTGTGATAAGACCTTTTTGAGTGCCAACAAATCCGACCTTATGACCTTGACCTCGGAGATTGACCCATCTTTAACAAAAATTTCCAAAATTAACCTTGGTCATAACTTTTGAAAAGTTAGTGCTATGGCTTTCGTCCTTCATATGTGTAAACATTATGACAAGACCTTCCAATGGGTATAAAAATATTTGATCTTGACTTTAACCGTTAAAGTACTAGCTAGACTTTCATATTTCACAGCTGAATTCCTTGTAATAAGACAGGATCTTCCTTAAAATTTGGATACCAACAATTTTGACCTCGACCATGACGTTTGATTTGCATTTGAGAAACCCCAACCCTTGCCATAAGCTGCCATACATAGGCATCAATTTTTTACAAACGGATCTTTTTTGACAGAGTAGGAAGATTGCTGAAAGGGAATGAGTATCCCTTTCCATTTAAAATGCAAAATAAATTGTAGGTGGTTCACTATGGCACTATGCAATAAAAATTTTGAGAAAGTCGCAATGTTTTTTTTTATACCAAAATCGAAAGATAACATCAAAACGTACGACTTTTCAACGCTTTATGCAACAATTCTTCACAAAAATTAAATTCCAGTCTGTTTGAAATCTAGCTGCAGAACTGTAGCGTTATGGTTTTATATATGGTCTTTGACCATAATGGTCAAAGACTAATATATATAAAACCATAACGCTACAGATCTCGGCGGTCATATGATAGCTGCAATAATTTCGCCTAACCCTTTTCCGATTAAAAAAAAAATCTGATACCCCCCCCCCCCCCCCCAAAAAAAGGGAGAAGAGTATCAGGGGTACATGTACTTTACATCTAGTCGTACGCAGATATATTTAGTTCATTATCATTCTTATTGTACACAAAGTGCATTTATACTTTGAAGTAGATATCTATACAATGGATGCTAGAATTTCTAATTGTCAATATACATGTTCAATATACATGCATCTATATATTTTGGAGAATCTGTTGAAATTCCCATGGGTACCAATTAAGTCCCATTATTTACAGACCTAGTATTGTATCCATAGAAAACAGAATCTACACGAGACAAAGAAAATCTTGCCATTGCCTTCAACTCAATACTTATTGTACGTAAACATACAATAGAAAATTAGAAATATAGTTAATTAAGTCCACTCACTGTCGATTCGATATATCCCAGTGAATTTGATATTATTAATAAAAAATACTATAGAGTCTGTCATACCTATTTCATATTTGGATTATTACTAGAAAGGTACGTTAGTGGTTACTTAAAACAACAGAACTTGGTGATAAAAAGTGATGACCATCTAATACATATTTAAAACGTGCTAATTTCAGCCATTTTTTTTATTTTTATTTTGATGAAGGTATTCATACACACCTAGAAAAACAGTTAAGGTATGTCACTCGTCAGCTTTTTAGAAAAGTTTACGCAGAAGCTTTACTTCAAAGCTACTTATTAAAATTCGATTCTTATAACATATTTAAATTCAATAATGTAAATTTTTTAACAATCAACGAAAAAACTGCTCATAAATCTATAAAGAAGCAAGATTTATGGGGGACTATTTCTTTTGGTGGAAGGATATTTAGCAGAAAATTCTGCAAATCTGCACATTTATAAAATTTAATGTAATGGAAATTTAGCCTCACATAATTTTACTCGGAGAATATTTTCTGTTTTGATATTACTAAAAATATTTAATATAGGTCTTAATTTATATTTTAACACCTTCCCTCAACAAACTTTTCCAAAAAATGAAGGAATATCAAAGAAGTCAAGATCAAATTTACACCATTTTTTGCCTGAAAATCACATATTTTGACAAATATTTCAAAATTAACATCACTGACCCCATCCTTTTCTTTCATTGTTTTAAACTATTCGATACTTGTGACTGATCAGCACTTAAGTCGTAAAAAGTTTGATATAAGAAATTTTTTTATTGCGTATTAATTTTTTTAATACCCCAAATATGTTATTTTTTAGTGCAGAAAGGTCACACAATAATTTATGCGCATTAATTTGCAAGATTGGTTTAGTGATAAATATTATTCAAACTATTTTACATAAAATAACATTATATTTATTGCCATGCTTACATCTGATAAAATATAATAAGGGTTAAAGTAATTAACCAAAGAGATGAAATTTAAGTGCAAAAAGGTCAACTTAAATGTACCGTAGATCAGTAGGATGCACACTGACACCCTATTTTCTTTGCGATTTTGAGTTACACTTTATGAGTACTTATCCAAAATATACTTCTCAAAAAATCCTTGATATAACAAATTTCAGGAGTGACTTACCTTAATACACAAAATACACCATCCTGAAACCAAGAGCCTAGCCATAATGAAAATGTCAAAATGCCTAAGGACAAAATCGAATGGAATTCTGTCCAAAATTTCTACTCATGATTTGATTGAATAAAATGACCTACGAAGCTTTTAAACATAATTCTTGTGCTTCTAACTCTCAGGAAAATAATTTTCAATAAAATATTGTACATTCAACATAAAGGCTTTTATTTTTAACCACTATATTCGGCCAGCATTATTTGCCCGGTGCGAATTACTCAGGGCATGAATTTCAATTTCCGATTTACGTAATTTCGGATGGGTGCAAGATGTTTCGGGACCACGACGTTTCGGGACCTGACTAATACGACGTTTCGGGACTAGTGAAAAGACGTTTCGGGACTTGGGTAAAGACGATTCGGGACTTGGGTTATTTTTTTCAGGATCTCAACAAATTATTTTATTATGGTGATATAGCATATTATTCTAAGTACACATAGTACGTAATATTTAATTTTTATGTATATACATAATAAAAATTCTCATAAGAATATACTTTTATGGGTTTTTCTTTCATGACAGACGAATAAGAATAAATCTTTACAATATTCGCTTTTATTTCTTAGTTTTTTTTAATATCATTTTTCTTTAAAATTATTATTAGTTATTTTTATTGTATGTGTGGTGAGGGGGGGGGGGGTCCAAAATCTAATCTTCTCAGGTTGATGATATATATTTTAAAATATTCAAGCGACTCCAGCTACCGTTTTTTTTTTTTTTTTTTTTTTTTTTATAAATATGTCAGTAAATTGTTAAAACAACAACTAGGACCAGGTACACATATCCCATAGGGAGGTGTTACGTAAATGTATAAAGACGCCGCCGGTAATGGGAACTAATTTAAAGATTGTGTGGTTTCTTTTGAAAATAATTTTAAGAAAATAAAAATCTAAAAATATGCAAAAATATCGTTTGTTTATTGGTAAATGAAATAATTTAAAATCAAACAATATTTATATAATAGTAATAATTTTCCCATCATCAAAAGTTCAACAAAATATAAAGGTTTTCAAAATGTTTTGATTTTGTCAATTTTTTTCCCGAACAATTTCAAATATTTTTTTCAAAAAAAATTAGCATAGTATTGTATGTAAGATTCCTCCCTTATGGAATGCCATATACGACAGCCAACTGCTTACTGCCAACTGCTGATTGCTTACAGCCAATTGCCACACAGATTTGAATAAATTTTATATTTGTATTGATATCTGTATGAATTTTCACAAAAAAGGGAAAAAAGGCAAGGATCCAGGACATTTTTTCCAAGGGGGTCACCCTGGTAAAATTGAATTGAATAAAATGACCAATATGTTTTATAATATTCAATATATGCGGTTGATAAAGCACATTGTTTATTCTTTTTATTTGTTTTCATATTTAAAATAGGTAATAAAATGACTATTTTCTGCTTTTAATCTTTAAAGAAGACCCCACTCCCCCGGAGACAACAAAACAAACCTTTGAAGAGAGAATAATAATAAAAAAGATTTGTCGTTTCGCAGAGAACGATGTTTTGAAAATAAATATGGCACGCCAAATTCACAAAAATGAGCTAAACATAGTTTCACAGTCGATAAACTAGGTTTATCGGTTGTAAACTATAGTTTACGGACTGTTAACAACGTTAATCTATATTTTACATCCGTAAACCATAGTTAACGCGATAATCTATGTTTCACAACCGTAAACTATA